TTTTTTTTTTTTTTTTTTTTTTCCGTTTCAGTCCGTTACAGTTTCGTCCGCAGTTACCGAGTCCAGGACGCCCCCATTGGTCATTACTAGTTCGCGTTTAAAGAATCAACGAATCATACAGCTTGTTAGAAAGCGGTTTTCGATCGGGACATGATACCAGAATAAGAAGACGCATACCGATAACAAGGTAAAAATAAGAAAATATTATTAAACCAAATTACTTAATTTTTTTATAAGGTTATCATGATAAATTTCATCGTTCGGTTGATTGTCCAGCTGACTTTATATATCGGTTAGTTAAAATTTCATTGACAATTGAGGGTTCGTCGAGGTCCTAGCTCGGCCTGTACTAGGTCAGTGGCGACCTAGAAGAGCCTTGGACTTACGTAAGAAAATTGTTACTAAAATATCGTTTTATTAGAACGATATTCTAATCATTAACTTTTTCTCTCTTCCTTCTCGCCACGTTCCTCTCCTATTGGTGTCCTTGTGAAATCGCCACGGTAAACAGACTCCTCGTATACGCACCAAGTACAGAGAATTTACAGGTTCGAGATTAGAATCCGTGCCGACAATTTCAATCAGCTCCCCGTCGCTCGCCTGTGACAGATAATATTGTGACGCATGAGGTTTAAATGAGGTCTGCCTAATTGTAATCCCGGCGTTATGTTCTCGAGGCTGGGGACGCTATTAATTCGAGGCCAACAGACCAATTGCGCGCGCACTATACAGACTGTACACCCCCCTCTTACTCCCCGATCCCTTTTCTTCTCATCGTGATGGCGCCCTCCTTTGCTCCTTATACCTTTTCCTCTTCACCTTTGTTCCTTTTACTGTTCCCCTGTGACTCAAGCGCGAATACGGTTTTTCCTCGGTGGAAAATCTTCAGACACGTACAGGCGTAAGCGTTGCCATGAAACGGTACAAGCCCTTCGCAAGGGACACCTTAAAATGTTTTCACAAGGCGCTTTTCACCGTTTCCGTTCATTCAGTTGCTAAAAGCCTGCCCGTGGTAGCCTTTGAACCCGACGCTCGCAACTCTTGTCGGCACTTCAGCCACTCGCCTACTTTTACCAACCTGTTGCCTCTGGTTCCCCGGGCTTCCGATAATATTAACGTGTTTACATTGAAAACACATGGCGTGTGTCTCGCTTTTATCACGTACAATACCAATGCAACGTCGATATGCGAGACGACTCGCAATTCGCAATAGAGAGATGGGGTACGATTAGTCAAGGTTAGTATAGATCTCTCATCAAGGCATAACACAAAATTGGAGTAAAATATTCTTATCCCATTTGTGTAACACGGGACTTGACATGCTATTTTTTTTTTATAAAAATACTTTAATGTAACGGTACATCATCCTTTACTGAACAGCCTATTTTGTGCTAAGGATGAAAGATAGGTTGCCTTCGGTCTGACGCCTTTATACGTACAACGTTAGTAGCTACCTTAAAGAGACTGGTGATATTACACCATCGTTCATTCTCACTTGGTCAGACCACAGGAGAAATGTTGTAAGAGAGAAAATATTTAAAGGAATTCAAAGAAATATCTAGGCAAAATATTTAAATGTAAATTCAAAAGGTCCAAGTTTTTTGTATTTAAAAAGGAGGTTGTCGTGGAGTAATTTTGACCGATTTATGACATATCTGAACAATGATTGAATTTAGTCGAGTGTGCATTTTTTTTATACGAGTATAAGGAAACGGTCAAGTATAAAGTAAAGATAGGCAAAGGATAGGGGAGAATTTAGGTTAGCCTAAAGAAAAGGATGGAATAACATTTTGGGGGATGATGATGTTGCAGCAGTGAATGCCTGTTTCCAGCGTGGTGGATCATCTAACGGAGGGTACCGTGAAGTGCCATCACGCGTCACGCGGGGGTGGTGGGTCTATGGGGGGCTCCGCCCCAGCGGCCCCCCAATTCGAGTCCAAATGCGAATTGCCGAAACGGCGCCATTCTGGCTCGATCGAAAACATCACCGCTTCCGGTACCGCCATCCAAGCAGATGAAGAGCCCTTCCAGTATCATGAGGCAGTCCAGCCTCACCAAACTGGGTTCGATGATCAACACTGCCGTGAACAAAAGAGCTGGTAAGCGTCACTCATTAGTTTATATTAACACGCGCCTCTACTTTCCCATTCTTTCTTTCTTTCACATTCCCTCTTACTTCTTATTGTAAATATTTACCTTCTCACATTCTTGGATATCACTTTGCGCCTGCTTAGTCAACCTGCTTAACAAGTATATGTACCTGCTTAGTCAAGCCCCTGTAGACTGCAACGCTTCACGCTTTCGTGCACGGCGGGTTTCATTTTCTTGCTGTAAGAAGAACGGTAGTCTCGTCGATAAGTAAGCACAACAAAAGCGCTTGCTAATTGGTATTTGCTCTTGAACATTCTTCGGATGAAATTCGCTCTTGGACAATAATTATTTAAAAATTACTCAATAATAGCATCCGAGACTGATGGTGATCCGTAAGTGGTAGCAGTGTTTGGGTCATGTGTCTCTTTTTTCCTTACCTCTACGCTGTAAACTCGCAAGAAGTTGTTATTGTCGTTACAAAGTCAAAACTATGCGAACGCTCAGTACGTTGTCTCTGCCGTCGAAGATGGCCACGCGAAGTCGGTTACGTGCTAGAAGACCATCCGTCGATTTAAATAGGAGACTCATCTGCAACCCGTTGAAGACAGTCGACGATGCTCCCTACGACGATGATTATGATTGTTTTTGTAAGTAGTTACTCCGCTCTCGTTATTCGTTCGTTCTGATCAGCTGTTGTTTGGTCAAGTCGTGTTGTTTGAACGAAACAAGTCAGACCTTAAGGCTATTCGGTTCGTCGTGATTTTGCATATACATTTCGTGCTCAAACGATTGTAGGAATATATTACAGCGTACTGCTTATTACCCGTACTTGTTAGAGCAAATCGATTAGCGAGGATCATCTAATAAGTATCGCAAAGTACACTTTTGCTTTGCACAGCACACCCAGTGATACTAGTTCGCGTCGAACGTATTGCAGGCGGCTTGATATTTTTCGAAATTTTTTTTTGCCAAATCGTTACTAATTCCTTTGCGTCTTCAATGTTCGTCATATACGTTCTGCCGCAATAACACCATTGGACTTAAAAAGAATTTGGATCTTAATTCGGAGGCACAAAGAATTTAAACGGTTTTTTTCTATTCATTGTTTGGATTGTCAACAGCGGCCATCTTTATTTTTCATTTCTCTACAAGAGAGATGGTCACGTATTTGAATGCGCTTTTATATTGAATAGTATTAATGGAGAATTTTATTTATTGGAGTCCTTCAACAAGGGTCTTCTTATCGATTTTAATTCGACAATCTAAAATAACCTGTAATATTATAAAGAAACTTGTGATGTCCATTTAGTGACGTAACGCGGTGAATTGCACCATGATTATAAACGTTGCATCTCGCTACCGTGAAATCAATATCACGATGACACTAGCCAGAGAAACGTGAGATATTTCTCGCGGGCTGTAGAAACGAACGGAGAGCCATTTTCATAGAGATCAAAAAGATTCCGTAGGCGTCCATTAAAAATGGATAGCTCGTCGTCAGGTCGCAGATCTGGGAAGAATACTTCGCCATTGTGGAGAGAAACGCCACTGTTTTCGTCCCTTGAGGAACTTCACGACAAGCTAACCGAACTTTTAGGTAACTCGAAACGAATCGAGCTGAGCTTTGTAGAACCATTAGCACTAAGATCCTATATCACGTAATGTGAAAGTTCGCACACCGGCTAGACTGCGAAGGAACTTCGTGCATTACGCCAACATGAAAGACGCCTGAAGTAAAATACCGATTCGGTATGACATTTGTATGTGCCTTTAACGCGTTGTATATAAACTTGTTGGTTTTCTACGATTCGCAAATATTAAACAAAGTTCATCAGTGACGCGTAGTTGTGTTATGGTTAGAAAATGTGCAAGGAAGAGTAAAAGAGATAAGACAATGTTTATACGGAATTCAAAAAGATTACATTTCTCTTTAAAATTTGCAGGATAATATATTAGAAATAGATAAAATGCTTCTGGAGTACATATTTTTAATTCTCTGTGCTTCCCGGTATGAGTATTTCGTAGAGACTAAATATTTGACAGATTCTCGTTTGCGCATTGGAATATTAATTATTTAAGTATTACAGGTTCCGCTTGGCGAAATTACATATTATTGTGTCATTACGATGATGTATCACCTTGTATGTCATAATGGACGAGTACGAATCATTAATAACAGAGTTATGAAATATTGATTATGACAAATTCCATTGGGATTTAATGTGCTTTGCAATTTTCACGCTTTGTATTACAGCTGATGCCTCACACTATTTTTGAGGGTTAGTAGAGAAATAGCGCTAATAATCGATAATCCGCAGAATTTTTTTTTGCTGAACGTAAATATACTTGATCTTTTATCGCGGTATGTTTGCAAGCATTGCAATGCTAATATGGCCGGGAAGTAGGACGCTTATATAAACTTTCGTAGCAATTTACCATCCAGATGGTACATTCACTGTCTTGTAATATTGTCTCACTGATTAGAATAATAAATCGTAGCATAAATCTTACGGCACATTAATGATAAATGGTAAATGTACATTGTGTTGTCGGATCTTCCTATTACGAGATATCATTTGGATTTTGGCGGGCGAAGTTCGTATTTTTTCGGTGAGTTTCGGGAGTCTTCGGATAATCTCGTGCAACCTCGGATTCGCAGACAAAATGGCGGTCCCCGTGGCAGCAGAACCTGCTGTGTGACGTCACGCCATAGTTGTGTTGTGCGGTTATGCACTCGTGAAACTCCGCCATTGAAACGCGAGCGCGTACGGATTTACGGGTCCAGAGACATTAGTGAATATGTGACAGGAGGTAGGCGGTTACTCTCGTGTTTCTCGCGAAAGTCTCTCTGTTCTTTTGTGCCAGCGTGTACGAGCGCTCCGCGATACGTGTTAAATTGGACGTGCGTTCGTGCGAAATCTGTCCTTGCGTCCGTGTCCGAAATGGCCGGTAAGTAGTCTCCCGTGTTCTTCTGGCCGCCGTGTTTTCTCGCCGCCAACAGTATAACCTGCTTACGCGCACCGCGGCAACGCGAACCTTGACCCAGTTATCTCGCGAGGGTTCGCGCGATTTCAACCCGCTGCCCGGCATCGCTCTTCTTCTTGCTCTTCTACTACTACAACACTACACTACTGCTACTGCTGCTACTACTTCTACTTCTTCTACTTCTTCGTCAATTCTTCCGCATCCGCGTGTACTTCTATTTCGTGAAACTCCGGATTACCCCGCGTGCGGTGGCAGATGTGTCCGTCGGCGGCGGCGGCCTAAAAACACGATGGATTGCGGCGAGACCTCAAGTAGGCTCAATCTACCTTCCCTATTTTTTTTACAACCTTCTGCTTTCATTCGCTTTCTCTTTTACTCCCTTCCTCACACTTTCGTTTTGCACTTCCAATTCTACATCGACAAAGATATACACAGCTTTCTCTTCAGTGTATCTTCCTCTTGGGTTAACCTCAATTGCACGCTTCCTCGCTATTCTTTTTCTTTCACATATCATTTGCTACAGGTTGTGCTCCTTTGAGAAAATTCCTTTGAGGCAGTATATCTGGATATTAATGATAATTCTTTGTACAATGGTTGTGTTTTAGAAATATTATTCTTGTTTGGAAACCATAATTTATCTATTCAATAAAAATTTATGTTTAGCATCGCTTACACTTTATCTTCATTGAAAACCATCTTCACTTGGAGCTATAAAATTCATAGTTCTTAAAATTATTATTAATGTTTGCAAAATAATGTCTAGTATGTATCTTCAAGATTAATTAGTTCAATGTACAAGGAAATGACTGAATATTACCATTTCAACAGTTACAATTTTTTACTGTAATTTGTTCTAAATGTTCTGTATCAACAATATTATCGTGGTTTTTAATGAAGTATAACAATATTTGTAGTACAATGAAACTTTATAGCATACAATGCTTTATCGATCACATGCAATATTTATATTGCTAGACATAATTGTAGTCACAACTAAGCCTCCATTTTGTATTGCACAATAGAAAAATTTGTATACAGTATCATTAATATCTTATTCTTCTTCTTCGATTGTAGGCAATGGTGACATCCAATGGTGTTTCTCACAGGTGAAGGGAACCTTGGAGGACGATGTCACCGAAGGTAAGTTGTGTTTACTTATATTTTACTACGTCATGAAGCATAATTGTTATCTTATCACCATTTGTATACCTAAATTACATGAACAGAATATCTCTATGTCTCCACCATATAAGACAAGATAAAAAGTTTTGTAATGTGAACTGTTGACTAAAAATCTTTATTATTCCTTGACTACTGTCTTGCAATCAATGTTACTTTTGTGCTGTTCGCTTTATATGCTTGATTATGAACACAAACCGCAAGAAGAAAGAAAGTACATTATTTTTGGAGTCTACACAACATTCTTCATTACCCTTGAGTAAAGTTTCTTTGTTATATTATATATATTCATTTTTTAAGAAGAGTTTTTACAAAGATCCCTTTAATTAACTGTTAAATTAATTTTTTCCTACTGCATTATTAAAAATTATCTATAACTGACACGTGTATTCTAAAAATTTCTTTGTGTTTATATTACAGCTGACATAATCTCTTGCGTCGAGTTTAACCATGATGGCGACCTCCTTGCAACGGGCGACAAGGGCGGCCGAGTCGTCATTTTTCAGAGGGATCCCATTGTGAGTAGAATATTGATCAATATACAATCAGCATTGATCAGATTTAGAATTGTATGTTAATTAGTTGAAACGTTGCTGCTGTTACCAACAGTGTCTGGCGCACCGTCCTAGTGTTTGATATGCCTTAGAGTTTTTTCTATAAAGGGAGGAGGAAGCTTATTCCTGAGCAGATATATCATACTTTCCGAGATACAAATGAATCACGTGTAAATAGAGACAGTATTCTATTGCTAATAAAAGATGTTCTCATTGTTATACAAAGTTTAAGTAACATATAAGTTTTTCTCTTCTTAAAATTACTGAGAACCTTGCAATTTTGCAATGTTTAGTTTTTTTTTTCTTACAAATTTTATCACGTTTTTACCGTTGAAATTGGATTCTAGCCAATTCTATTGTCTGCATGGTTATCTTTAGAGACTCACCCAGATGTACCTACAAAATATGTAAGACTTTTTTGTGTCTAGCACACGTCTCGTATAACTACACCAATAAAATATATTCCACACATTCAAAAGACACTTTAGAACCCACGTCACGTATGATATTTTGAAACAATTTTTACTTTCCCGAAGTCGTACTTAAATGTATCTCAAAAAAATTGGCAGAAAAATAAAAAATAAAAGCACAAAAACTCCTTCCTGCTCATTTTTATGGTAACATGCAAATTATATTACAGAGCAAATATTCCCTTTCAGTATCAGTGGCAATAGTATAGCATTGGCGAAAAACGTATAACAGATAGTATTTATGAGGAAAAAAAACGATAAAATTACTTTTAAATTATACTGTACCAAATGCTTATTAGACACAGCACACTGAGTTATATCACCCTGCACTTGAACAACGCTATTACAAAAAATCGTTCATACTCAAAATCAGTCATACCTAAACGTGTCGCAATTCTCTGACGGTAAATGATCCGCGTGCAAACGTTCAAATTGTTATTGGCTTAATCGTACGCATCTCGTTCATGACGGTTAACAACTTCCCACTATTGACTCGGTTTCCACTTATAATGATGCAAGTTCTTCGCTTCTTTCACGCTCGTCACAAGGTTGATACAGGACTGTCAGTTAACAATGCCCCCATCATATGTCCTCAAGAGATTAATCGAAGCTCAAACTTATCTGTAACGTTTTATTGTCACGTCGATTGAATGTGTTGTCGTTGCGCAGGGTCGAGAACGCTGAGTCAATCTTATGTATTATTTGTGCAGAGTAAAAACAGTATACCACGACGAGGTGAGTACAACGTGTACAGCACCTTCCAGAGTCATGAGCCGGAGTTCGACTACCTTAAATCACTGGAGATAGAAGAAAAGATAAATAAAATAAGGTGGTTGAAGAGGAAGAATCCAGCTCACTTTCTACTTTCCACGAACGACAAGACAATCAAGTTGTGGAAGGTCAGCGAAAGGGACAAAAGAGTCGAGGGTTACAATACCAAGGAGGAGAGTGGTGCGATTCGGGATCCTGCCTGTATAACTGCCTTGAGGGTGAGTTTTTGTATAGTCAAATATCAGGCACGTAAGCTTTTGTAAAGCGTAAAGCCAAAGTACTCCCTTGCCAAACCGAAATAAATTTTAAGTATTTCGATCGACAGATCGTTCTAATTGTTCCCACGAACTGGTATTCGGTTACACTAGTTAAGGAAGTAATAACCTGACGTCTCGTGTCAATGAAAATGTCTAACCGTGTGTCGCAGCACGACTAGCGTTAATTTTCACAGTACACGCTCGGGACCATCTCGCTCCAGCTGTACTAATGGCCTTCGATATCGGCTAGCACGCGAAGCAATCTCCCAAGGTGCTTAAAAATCATTTCGAATGCTCTTAATTCATTGAGTTTCGTTTACACCCAGGGTACCATTATTCATCTCCTGGCGTATCCCCCCGTGACTAATGCCATGATTATGTGAGGTGACAATGGCGAGGAGGTGGGTAGGAAGGTCAAATATGCACATAGTATTAACATAATATGATGTCATAGACATCATTTTGTTTAGGTTGAAAACGGTTGTTGCGTCGCGCAACTATCACCTATTTCTTTTACCGGACGTCTCGAGAGCATACGAGAGAGACAAGTTAAAGTCACTTCTTTTTTTCTCTCCCAAACTTATATACAATGTGCGAAGTAAGAGGAAATGCGTGTTGCTAGATGGAACATTAGTAGAATATTAGAAAAGTGCATGACATTGTTTGAGCTAAAATATCTTTGGGTGCAGGTACCTACCATAAAACCCATGGAGCTAATGGTTGAGGCATCGCCAAGGCGAATATTTGCCAATGCGCACACGTACCACATAAACAGTATAAGCGTCAACAGCGACCAGGAGACCTACCTAAGTGCTGATGACCTTAGAATTAATCTCTGGCATCTCGAGATCACCGATCAAAGTTTTAGTATCCTTTTCCAAAAACCATATGCATTAATATGCGTAACACACGGCCGACAGAAAATCATTGACGTTTTCTAATCTGATTTGATCTAATGGCCACAAGAACGTTCAAAGACATTTTCCTATCGAAGGTATACAGATATAGTAGATATAAAACCAACCAACATGGAGGAATTAACGGAAGTTATAACTGCTGCGGAGTTTCATCCTGTAGAATGTAATCTACTGGTCTACAGCAGCAGCAAGGGAACCATCAGGCTATGTGATATGAGATCTGCTGCTTTGTGCGATCGTCACAGTAAACTTTTCGAGGAGCCAGAGGATCCGACTAACAGGAGCTTCTTTTCGGAGATCATTTCGAGTATCAGCGACGTTAAGCTAAGTAACTCGGGACGGTACATGATCAGCAGAGACTACCTCAGTGTAAAGGTCTGGGACTTACACATGGAGACGAAGCCCATAGAATGTTACCCCGTAAGTAATTGGTAATCCGGAAACTGTCTATAGAACCGTCTTTCGATAACCACATTGCTTATATCCATGTGGCATCATTCCACTTGTAGGTGCACGAGTACCTGAGGTCGAAGTTATGTTCGCTGTACGAGAACGATTGTATCTTTGATAAATTCGAATGTTGTTGGAGCGGAAACGATTCCGCAATAATGACGGGCTCTTATAACAACTTTTTCCGAGTATTCGATCGCTCGACCAAACGTGACCTCACTCTAGAAGCGGCGCGCGACATCGCAAAACCGAAAACACTTCTGAAGCCTCGCAAGGTCTGTTCCTCATTGACACTCGTTAAGAATTATTCGAGGCTGGCGCTTTGTGTCGTAATTCTAGTTGAACTTTGAAATGATTTTTAAAGGTCTGCACTGGCGGCAAGCGCAAGAAGGACGAAATCAGCGTCGACTGCTTGGACTTTAACAAGAAGATACTTCACACCGCGTGGCATCCCTCTGAAAACGTGGTAGCTGTCGCGGCCACCAACAATCTCTTCCTGTTCCAAGACAAGCTTTAGCACATCTGTATGCAGGTACATTCGGCCAGTCGGCACGATCGATCGAAACGGCGCTCCACGCCGCGCCAGAAATGACATTTGGCGTCCAGTCAATTTCTCGGCTCCCGGGTATTCTTGAGGAGAAATAAGAGAGTTCTGTTTCTTCTCTGTCGTAGATAATACAACGCTACATACTGACGTGAGCGTGGCACGTGGAGCCGTAAGGTAGTGGCGGAGCAACGTGTGTCTGAATAGTACAGACGAAAGTCGACTAAGTGCACTGATAGTCGACTGACTGAAAAATAAGTGGTGTACGTAGCGCCGTCCACACTCAAAAAAGATCACTCTTACTCTGCGCGCATCCATATACTCATACATTGCACAGATGTTACTACTCTGTAGACATATGCATACACGGGACACACGCAACACACAACACGAGCCAAGACACACACACACACACACACACACACACACACACACACACACACACGTGGAACACAGAGAGGAGAACCACTGTGAAAGAGAGAGAAGAAAGAGGAGAGCAAGGGTGGTCGCATACAAAGAAAATATACGTAAACAGAGGCACATAAACTCTCGTTAAACATACATAAAGACATTAAATAATCGCGCGCACATATGTACATAAAAATGCATTGAAAAGAAGACACACTCGGCTCCCCGGACTACCATGTCCGCTAGCTCAAATAAAATTTCACACGTGAGACCGTTTTTAAGAGGGACGGACAAAATCAAAGCGGATCGACCTTACGGTGGTTCTGGCTTACGTTTTCGTTTGCCGATTACTTACGGACAGAAAACTCACGAGCTCATTTATGCTGACGCAACGTTTTGATTGTGAGAGGTTGCCGTGGCCCTGACGTTCGAATTCCAGGAATGCCGGTGCCCTACGACTAGGAAACTTTTGTAATCTCGCTGTTTTCAATACAGATCTACAAGATCAACTCGTGTAGGCAAGACTTAATCTTCCGTGCGCGTCATCGCATTTTACGTACGATCGTTAAACGACCATTTCCATTAATAACTGTATACTTATCAGAGCAACGTATGTTATCAACGGGACAATGCGCGGAACGTATTTGGCCAATACACACGGTACGAATCTTACATCGCTCTGCCTGCAAATTCTTCTACGGTCGCCTAATCCGACGCTCTCAAGTAAAATGAAACAGTAATAACAATCAAAAATACCTGCGGCTAGTAGTGGCGGGATAACGCGCGTTCTATGAAATCCTGCTATTGATAAGATAACAATCATCAACGTGTAATTACGTGAAATATCCCGTGTCGCCGAATGACGCGAGGCTCATTACATGTATTTGGAAAGAAAAACAAGAAAGAAGAAAAAATAGAGAAAATGTCGCTACTGTAACATCATTTTATTATTTCGCATTTGACTATGAAACTCGTCCCACTATTCGATAATGGCTCCTATCAAAGTAACTGTATCTAACACATTAATGGTGAAAATTGCATTTCGAAAGAGAAATTTTTTTTTTATCAGAGTCACTACCAATTTCTTCCCGTATACTACGTACGGTGCACAACTTTATTTCTTTTTTTATGTAATCTTGCGATTTTTTTTTACTGTTCGTTTGCAATATTCGCCGTTATCATGGATACAGTGGAGCAAGAGGATGGAACGATGCAATAGGAAGTTGCATGAAAGTCAAAGACTCGCTTTCAGATGTTTCTTATAGAATTTTAAGCGTTTCTATTTTTGAGATAAACAACGCACTACATGACGCTATTTTCGCTATGTATTCCAGTTTGTAGTCAAAGTCAAACATTCCGTCACATCAAGCAAATATCTTATACGATGTATTTTACGGCGAACTGTCAATTCGGTACCGTAATTCGATATGGTTTAACGACTTAAAGAAATACTTAAATCCTTAGTACGTAATTTAGATGGGAAAAGGACCACAGGTACATATTCAGACAACCTTTTACTCCAACTCACGTGGCAACATTATCACTATCCAAATGACGTACAAACCTTTTTTTTATCGCCTGTTCGGGCCGCAATATTGGACTAAATATTGGTGCGAATAATTCGTCGTAAAATACATCATTTCAAAGTATTCAGTTCAATGTATCACAGAGATCGTTAAATATCTTTAAAAATATCTTGCGCCAGTGTTACCGTATCTGTCGTGTCCTTCTCAAGCATAGAGACACTTAAAGAAACAATTGAGAGCTGCGAATACAATTTAAAGCTTTCTGCCACTTCTCAAATGGATTCTGTCTTGTCGATGCAATTAAGTACTTGTAGATCGTACCGCTATTCCGAGACACAAGACACAGATTACACGCATATTATACAGTACGCAAACATATTACACGTCGACTCGAAGGTTAATTGCTCGGTCGAATGTCTTGAAAATAATGAGAATAACAGTAGACAGAGTATAAATTGTCGAATATTTCTTATAGGTAATTTATTGATTCACGACATATACACGCGCGCATAAGCAGTCAACTATACGACTAGAATCATTTGTGAAAATAACCAGGTTAGGGAGAAACTTGAAAAACAAAATGAAAGCTACTCAACGGAACATGTGACGCGGTAAGGTGGCCTTGCGGGAACGTATATGGAAGGAGATGTGAGCAAGATCAAAGAAGTAAGATGAATGGACGTCCAAGAAGAATGAGATAGACGATCGGTCTGTATATGACAGGATTGCAAGGGGAATACAGGGAATTATAGGATCACTTGCGGGGGAAAGATGAGAACTTTATCGGATAACGATCGAATGGTCTCTACGTTCATCGCGCGCAATTCTACTGAATCAGGGCACAACAAAAGATTTAATTTCCTCGGGAATTACATCACTCGCGTCAGTTGCTTTTTTTCCAGGGGGTATATATTTTCCTTTGACCATCGATCTGTCTTGATTGACTTTTTATTTCCCTTTCAAAATATACCTACGTCGATACGTGTTGCGTTAATGCAGATTGTGGTTCTAGGTGAAACAGAAAGAGAGAGAGTACAAAAGAAATGGGATTTAATGAAAATGGAGAAGACAGAACAAGTGTACTTACACAAAATTTCTTATGGATCTAGACGTGCGGATAATGCGATGTAGGTGTGCAGACGTATAATAAAGACTCCGGCGAAGGGGCTGCGTGCAAAGGACGTAAAACAACAATGCAGACGAGAAAATCATAAACCGATATATCAGTGCTTCAGTAGCTACGTCGATAAGCTCTAAGGCTCCTGCTGATCGTTAGTAGTTTGGTTGTACGTACGAGACTAGTGAAAAACGTGCATTGTCGACGGATGAACAAAAGATGTACTATCTGGATAAAAAATTGACCAAAGCCCATCGCGAACTTAATCAAAAGAATGAAGTTTTGTAAAGCGCGAAAGCAATCTGATTGTTTATGATGGCCGACGCGTCCTTACCAAAGTCCCGGTTAATAACGATCCCGCTGTAATTTCAATACTGAATTAAAGAGAAAATCACTCGACTACATTGTCGCTGCGATTCGCTGTTCACCGACGTTCATTCTCAATGAAACCGATATTTTTTCGCAATCAATCCAAGGCGGGGTCTTGGCTTGTTAATGTTATTCACCTACGTGGGTCTCGTCCTATACTAGGTGTTTCCGATTCGATCGATCGTCGTGACGTTCTTCGTTGGCCGCGTGACGCAATTCTATTTTTATATTTGTCAAGCAGTGACGTACGGTGGCTTCTCATATACGCTTTTCACGTAAGTCGCGTCATTTGGGATCTAATGATATTCTATCTATCGGTACCAATTGGTTTTTTTTTGTAATTCATTGTTCTTCCTTCTTTTACAAAATCTTTACTGTGTCATCGAATTGCATGATTTCTTTTATTCACGAATAATATTATAATCCTGTACCACGTGGGCTTAAGGAAGTTACGTGTACGTCAGTTGCTTTGAGGACGTTATAGGAATGGAGCTGCCGGTAGCCTTCGGGAAGCGCTTTGTATCTAGATCCACGATTACGTCGCGCCTGAAAGAGTCGAGATTTTAATATACACGGATATGTTTATAACGAAGAGAAACACCAGCTATCACATCTTAACCAGTGATATTTGTCTCGAGTGACAGAGCGACTCGCTGAGATCCTCTCGACGGGAACTGTAATGTAGATTAGCGTACAATAATTAGGCAATTGTGTACTAATGTAAAATGACAAAGAAAGAAGTGCTGATGTATGGAAAGAGGCTGGTGGTCTAAGGAGAATGAGGAGTGTATGTATTGTGATTTTGAGAGAGAGAGAGAGAGAGAGAGAGAGAGAGAGAGAGAGAATTTTTGAGCTATACTTCTTAATTAACCATCGCGAGTTAACTGTTGTTGCGCAAGAACCGTCTTTGCGTGCAAAACTATATATATTGCATTATTTTTGTATTAAGTATTAGACGCTAGGAATATTTTTCTCTTGATAATATTTTTCTCCTTTTTTTTTAGTTCTTTCTTTTTGTTAACTGCTATGCAGGTTTAGTTACAGTAACAATGATCTGACTGCTCCGGTAACTAGGTAGGAGGCGAAAGTTTCAACGTAGAGAAGAATCTTCATTCGTGTCTGTCTGGCGGGCTCGATCGATAGTAAATCGAACGATACGCTTAACTATGTAATACACGATTATGTATATATGCGTATCAGCTCGTAGGATTTTCTTTTCATTTTGTCTTCTTTTCTTTCTCTTTGGAATGACTCGTAGAAGCGTACCGATAAACCTGGCGAATTTGTTTTTACTTGTCAGTTTCGCTTGTGCGTCTCTTGTGGTCACTTCGTCGCCGAGCGCTTTAGCCAATTGTGCGTGTCGTTTTTACGAACAGCGATATTTATCACCGAACCATTTTAATTATGCAATTCAACGGCTTGTGGAAATCATTGTGAGGCAATTTTACTTTACATTGCTTTACTTACATTAATTAATCACCCGATGCATAATTTAAAAACTGTTCATTGCGAAACAACTTTTCTATTGTTATGCGTTTAGCGGGTGGCCCATAGGAAAATTTACCATTGTCAATGGGTTTGGTTTTTTTTTGTTACGCTTGATAAATGGATGGAAAACAATTTCGAAAAAAAATCATCGGCTATGGGAAATTTTCTTACGGAATGTAGGACTGTCTGTAATCGTTGTCGACTGACTTAATCGGTTGCCACTTTTTCTATTTGGCTTATTTCACTGTCAAATTCATTAAAGAGCGAGGAAGGTAGAAAACAGAACAAGAAGATAACTCGGGGTTGATAATGTTACGATAATACATTAGAGTTAGCTCAGCTGAATTAGGACACTATTTTGACATACAAGATCACGTATAATATTACGATAAGGCATTTTATTGCGATGCTGGTAGATTGCCTAATTTTTTTTAATCTTGGTATTTTTTTATCTGTTAATCAGTTGTCATATGCATTTTTACAAGGCTTTGGATTATTTTGCTAGATTGGCACAGTATTTTTTGTTCGTATCTGTTTTTAAGAATTATCTTCTCATCAACATAAAGGCGATCCTCAGGAGCACGATTTTTTGCTTCGGCAAAATTTGTGGGCATTCGCGCGAGTACGGACACAGAAAGCTACGTAGAGTAAAAGGGGAGGAAAGCCATAAGCGATGGTCTCGGTCACTTATAAACAGACTTATAGTTTTATTTACTATACGAGATTGTGAATCGCTCGATGAGATATCGCCAGATACACGTGGTACGGTAGGACGTACAAAAAATGCACATCATCCAGTAGATGATGTGTTAGGTGATATTATGTAAACTAGGCTATTACGAGAGCTAGATAGGGAAAGAGAGGATGCCAGAGAAATAAATATTTATCAAAATCGTATATTAGTTTCTTATCTATACATATATATATATATTTTTTTTTTCATTGTTCATCCGCGACGAAGTGGCACTACGAAAGTTCCATGATTAATTGACAATTGGTTTGAGAGATCTCGAGTACATTTAGTTATAAAAATTTATGAATTTATCGCGTTTTGACTAACTACGAATACGGAACGGTACGCTCTTTCGATAAAGGCACGCAACTCGCGGTCATTACGAAACTTACGCTCAAATGCTCGCGCCGCTCGGAGTTGCTTCTCTTTATCTTGCGAGGGTATCAAGGAGATGAAACGAAAAGAGGAAAAAACAAAATAATGAAAACCGTTAATGTACTCGTTATTACTTGCTGTCGTACGCAGTTGGGTAAGATATATCGCTCCAATCCGATCATTCCAGCGAGGTTAATGACATTTTGTGCCATAGAAACATTATTTATGCCTAATGTGCTACATCGCTCTTTGTCCATCTATTTAGCTATCATGTCGATCTTATACTAAATTGTGCGTCTGCCTCTGTGACGTCGCTCAATTTGTCTCCTTCCTGGGAAAAAAGACGAGTTGCAATCCGACGGAGGAATATTACAAAAGAAAAGATTCAGAGTGTCAGGAACGAGGAGAGGGACAAGCGGAGGTATCTAATAAATTGGATAATTTATTTATCAGTATTAGATGATTTTTTACAATAAGGGAGACTTTGAAAATTATATTTTTGGAAAGAATTGTGTAGAAGTGAGGCGTAGGAAGGAAGATACGATGAGGTGTAGGCTACTCGGAACAAGAGAAAAGAAAAGGAAAGAAAAAAAAACTTTAGGATTCCATAAAGAGAGTGCCCTGTGGCGATTAAGTTTTTATATTAGTTTAGTTAAGGCTTTATCGATATACTTTTAATTAAAGGATAAGTAGGTAATATTATAGAGGGGTGTTTCAAGAGTCGTGCCTCGGACTGGTTTACCGAGCGTTTCATCCTGACTCTTGGGACACGCCTTGAGATTGATATTAACGGTTAAACGAACTCTAGGCGACGATAAGTGTCAAAGGGAGAAAGTGTCAAAATTCTCGAACTATACGATTGTCGCGCGGACAAAACGGATGGCCATAAAAATACGAAGTAAGTAAGAGGAAACGCGGGGAAAGGCGAATCTTGTTAAATCGCGTACGCGCGACGGCATATACGTGCAGCTGAGAATGAGAGAGAGAGAGAGACATGCGTGATAACGCTAACACCATATACATAAGACACATACACATATATATACACATAAATCTCTACTGCGAAAACGTTGTAAGTAAAGGAGAATGATGAATTTTACTATTAACGAACGTGAATAATAAAAAGACACTTGTATTATAATGTCTAATGTAATAGAATGTATTACGGATAGCGACGATACTTGCTGACGTACGCGAAGCGGAGACAAGAGGAATGAAAGCCGTAAGAGGGAGGATGATGAAGATGACGAGGATCGTTGAAGAAAAATATACGATGGAGAAGGGCAGGAACTTTGAGGGCGACGAGTCACTGCTGTTGGGAGAGACTCTATTTGTGAGATATAACTGATAAATTATCATAGGTAGCTAGCTTCGAACGAATGACGCTGAATGAATTTTCTGTACTTTCGTGTAAAATTGTCTCGAGTAGGAAAGCGTGCGGGTTTCCGAAGGCACTAAACTAAGAGAATGCTCTTTTTACTGCTGCAACAAAATATATAGTACCAACAAACGCTTTCTCCTGTCCTATCCAAATCAATTTTGCCTCTCGTCTCAATTTAGGTTACTTTATGCCCGTTTCCTCCGACGTGGCTTAAACCTGGTTTAATTTTTTAAATACAGTTTTAAGATGAGGTAACCAGAGTTTAAACTTCGATTAACGTCGGAGGAAACGGGCATTAATCTCCTTCCGACTGTCAATTAAGGTTAGCCAAATGCACTGTGTATTTTTGACCTCTTTCGTCTTATGCAACTCGCTCTTCACGATTACTTTTGAACTTGTCAAACGATAGAGCCGAAGAGATAGAGCTTCTTAATTTATACCGGTAACGCACACCCTTTCCTTCTGTCGTCAAATAATCGACGCTTCTTTTGAGTGAGCAAAAAATCTCTTGGCTGCTTTTCAAACAGCGACACTCGCGCCGAGCTCTGCAGTAAAAGTGCGAAGGTCGCACTCAACTGCGACGCAATCGATAATCGATTTTAATTCGATCCTCGATCTCTGGTATGGATCAGGAAAGATTGAACGTATGCTTCCAAATGATTAATCTTTAATTTTTAATTCCTAAACCCCCTCCCTTCGTAATATTGGTCAGCGAACAATAAGTAATTATTATTAACAATGAAATTATGAATTTGCATAATAAAAATACCAATACCGAATCTAGCGCTGTGCCTCGTCTCACTGCGACACAAGTCATTTATTCCTGGTGATTTTATTTACACGTATTTCTTCAATTGAGGATCATTTTAGTACATTGTTGGCTCTTTTTTAGTTATCAGTCATTTTGTTTCATAAACTAGTTCTTGAGTCCATTTTGGGTTACGTATTTAGCCTGTTTCGTAAATAATTCTGCTCTTGACATACGGCAATGTAATTTATTATTTAAACGGTTGGAAGCGGCGAAATCATAAGCGGCAAGGATTTTTACGACAACTTTTTTACTAGAGGCAATGTTTATGGTACATCCTACATGATTAGTAATCGTTTTGATACTTTTTTCACAATGAATAATCGAAAATTATTGCAAACGTCCAACCTGAATATTGAACTTGACACGGGTGATAATTGTTAGATCGAATGTCTCCTAAAGTTATATATTAATTTTTCTAAAACTGATGTCAAAGTAAGTGTTTATCTCTCGCAGGACGTGCAAATTCTATTTAGAAAAAGAATTTCTTTAAAAAATATTTTACTGATGATTTTGGTTCAAATTTTACTTGCATCTCGTAACAAAACGGTGCAACCGTGAAAAACTGGTTGGAAACTGGTTTATGATTGGTTGCGATATCCTTCCTTCCTTTCTTTCTTCCTTATGGCTGGTTCCAATAAGATGTGCCAGTTGGTTGCGATATATTTAGAGTTAACATTCAGTATTCAAAGTGAAAGTGGGTAGTTGACATTTGTAAGCCAAAAATTTGAGTGAAGTTAAACTAAAAAGAAAAATGACGCAGTACGGTTGCAGAATTGTTTGTTTTTGGTTTACTCGAAGTTTGTTACACAACTGATTATCAATCGAAATTCCATCATCTTCGTATTTTGTGCTCAATACCGTTATTTTATAATTTCGTCTTGGATTATTTTCAGTTTACCTTCTTTACTCTTAATTTATTTTTCACAAATTGCAACCATTATTTGTCAGTTGAATATCAGTTTATCAATCTGTTAAGAATGTAATTGATCGCCAATCAACTTAACGAATAACATACTTTAATAGGTCGTGACCGATAATACAATTTTCACAATCGATAACTCCCTTTTTACAATGTATATCCAGAATGAATAAATGAGAAATAACCAAGAATTTGAAATCATCTGTCATGATTTCGTACTCAAATCTCTAATGTATAATTAAAGGATAAATTAACAATGACATTGAAAGCATCGATAATATATTCGAATCTCGAATGAAAGCGAAGGCGATATTAAACGAATGAGTATGCATAATTTCAGATTTTAAACTGAAGTGAAAATTACAAAATGTTTGCAAGTTTCACTCGTTACTTTCGACCCAATTTGACTCAATAAATGCTGATTCATTAATAATAAATATTAGCAACGATTTCGTATAGAAGTTAATATAACTTTAAACATTCGCCAAATTTCATATCTATTAATAGGAACAAAAATTCGAAAGTATTAAGTATTTCTTACATTACAGCGCCTGGGCGATAAGCAGCCGCCAGCGAATTATGTTGCATTGCTGTTTTCAACATTTTTTCATTTCATCGAGGTCGCAATACTGGCTCTATCTGTGGCTACAATTTAGATCGGTTTACTGAAAAGTGTTCGAAATCCTCGTGCGTCTCGTTCGCCGATTCCAATTTTTTTTAAAAACCAGGTTTATTAACAAGAAGTTCTAACCTCACCTAATTTGACCAAGCCAAGCTTAATTATTAACAAGCTTGCTACAGTGGCGAAGAATTGTTTTCGAAGAACTGTTTTCAAAAAAAACTTTTCGTACACGTTTAAATCACTCTCAGTGCCCTCGTAACCTACAAGCAACTCCGGTAGGAATTCGCGTGCAGAAGGAAAATTTTGTGTATCATGTCAAGTGTTGCAATCACTCCTATCGTATCAAGCAATCAACCACAATCAACCTTCCTTCCTTTCTTCTTCTTCTTCTTTATATACAGGGTGTTCCGAAACTATCTGACCCGGTGGGTATGGCGGTGTTCGGGAGGCGTCACTGATCACGAAAATGACCTTCTTTTTGTCCGGAAGCTCTTAGTTTTTAAATGGGAGCAGGTCAAAGTTGACCAATCAGGACGAGGCGTCAAGAGAAACGTACGCACCTACGAACTCTGAGTTTTCTTCCCTCGCTTTTGTTTCTCGGTAGCTTGTTTCTTGTTTCCAATAGGCATGTCTTCGGCTGACGTCATCCTGCCCGAAGCCACCGAGAAACAAAAGCGAGGGAAGAAAACTCAGAGTTCGTAGGTGCCTACTTTTCTCTTGACGCCTCCCCCTGATTGGTCAACTGACCTGTTCCCATTTAAAAACTATGACCTACCCGACAAAAAGAAGGTCATTGTCGTGATCAATGAAGCCTCCCGAACACCGCCATACCCACCGGGTCAGACAGTTTCGGAACACCCTGTATATGGCTCTGGTTAGGACTTTTCTATTCCTTCCTTTCCATATTATGACTATATTCAGAGATGAATAGGGAGATGCACAACGCTACGGTTTTAGGCGATACCAAAATTATGGCGCTAAATCGTAGCGGCGAGTCTGGAAGTAGGATTTAGTAATCATCGCCTCCGTCGATAATGCGGATCACGAACGTGTAGCTTGGCGAGCAGTGGCTCTTCGCTACTTACCGCTGGTTCCCGAAACAACACTTACAACGAGGCAGCTCAAAGAATATAGCCTAAATATTTATTTTCTTTACAATCCTAAGTTCGAGCGTAAAGTGTAAGCTCGGTTGTCATATGACAAAAGTCAGCAACTCATGCCTGCCTGCACAGAAGTGCATGATGCCACCAGTATACGGAATAGATCTTTTACGGATATTGCGCAATAGAACTATTGTTAAAATCTATCAGAAACTATAGAACTCCTCCAGAACTATTTAAGAAGCCTATTGTTGAATCATTTTTAAGAGATTTTAATAAAGTGCGGTGCTTTACGTGACACGCGTGTAGCACCACAATTTTTGGAAAATTCGTGTTTTAACGATGTTACGCAGCAGAACTATTGTAAAAACCTATCAGGAACTATAGAATTCCTCCTCGCCGCTGGAAGCTGGGCGCGAGCCTCCAACCTTTCGGTCGTGAATCCGCTACCCTATCCACTGGGCTACGGCTGCCCCTTCATGGAATATACGAGAGTGATAAGAGAGTCAAACGCAGAATACAACTTCTCGAGAAGCGCAGAAGGGGTCTGCAGTGTAACGAGCCTTGCACACTAATGGCAGCGGACAGCGACCAATGGACAAGATGCTTTAGGTCTGAGGTATGACGACACATCTCGGTGCTCATAACCCATTGGTCACAGCTTTCCTTCCTTCCTTTCCTTATGGCTGACTCCACCAATGAGAAGATGTGCCAGTGGTCGCTGCTTTGTTGCTCGCTGCCTTCTGCCTTTGCTGTGGAAGACTGTGGAAGACCCATAAAACGTAAACTTGGAAAGCATCGCTTGTAAATTGTAGTCTTACTTGAGTCAGAGATGGTGGTGTAAAGGTACGAAAACGGTTATTGCTGCGAGACCGGGAACTCCTCCAAGAATATCTTTCACAAGAACGACTGGTTCAACCTGTTACTGATTAGTTTAGAAGAAGCATAAAGTACAGTTCAATGACTAGATAAAATTTGGCGAACGGACTTAAATTGTACATGATTGAAGGAGACGTTTCAACAACCTTGAGAACAACATCGTTCCACAGAAAGTTGCAAGTGTGAATTAGCTTTTTAAAGGTACAGCCTAAAATTAAAAGTTTGAGGGTGATAAAAATCTTTAGGAGTGACAGCTGTCATCTGTTTTGCATTGTACGTGTGTTCCTTGGTTTTGGATATAAGTACTTGACCTGTGTGCATTTCAAGTAAGTTGTCATTGAGGATTATTCAGTTTTGAGTGCAAATATAAAATATTTTACAATATCTTCATAAGCATGACTTGTGATTCTACATTTTTGCATAAGTTGACTGCTGTGATCTTACAGTTTTCGAATACTAGTTATGCTCGAGTTGCTCTTATTTACCATTGATAAGAAATCACTGGCAGTCAAGAAGAATAAGAAAATTTAAAGGGAAAGGAGTTTCCAACAATTACGTTTCCAAAAAGTTTACAATCCAATTTCAGCATTGCCTGATGCAACAATAATGAGGTAAAATGCAATGTCATTAAAGCTTAATATGTAGAAATCAAATTCATGACTTTTACAATTATAAAATGTATTTTTCTTTGCTATAACAATACACATGATATAATAACACAAGTATTTTAATGTTAAAGGAGCTGTATCTAATGGTTCTTAAAGCGAAACTAATCAACAACATATAAAAACAATACCTCCTATGGTGCCGTAAAAGTATTTTATGCTGCAGCTCGAACTGTAAATAACTAAATGATTTGAGAAATGTCAGCATCAAGACACACGATGGCTCTAAATTTTGCGGATGTCATAATGAGGGTGCCTCCCTTATTTATCATTGATGAACTGCTTAGAATTGGCTTAGACCTTCCTACAGGAGAAACCGTGACATTGAAAAATACAGAACATCGATTTATAGGAATGGATGCTCCAGACACTATTGTTGATTCCTTTGTTAGTGTTTCCTCCGAACCATTTCTAATGCAACTCTTCAATTTTAATCAATATTTCTACCAAACATATTTATTGATGATCCTTAAGCTGAGTGCTTGCTGCATAGGTGAGTTTTATAATCACACAGCCATATGTGTCAGATTTATTACTTTTCTATCTTATATTTTGTTCATATCTATTTATTTTATATTACATTGATTGATGTAACTTACTTTATAGAGAAAATATTGTCTCTCAATAAGGTGCACTATTATAATATATCCATTTTCATAGATACATCCTTTAATTTATTCGGTCACTATCAGTTTACTCTAAATAGATTTTTCGATGAAGTTTCGAAGACTTCATGTGTTATGTAAAACGTACACGGTGATTATTTTCATATATAATTTCGTTTTTCCTTATACGATCACTCAAATATGTGTATACAATTCAATTTCACTTGCTATTTTAATTGTTTTTTGTAATTTCACTTTCTGCCATATAATGTGCTTGGATGATGTCTCGTAATTTTTTGGGACAATATATTTTTATTATAGATTTAACAAATTCTCGGATAATACGAATATAAAAAGTATTACTCTAAAATTGTACTACAATATTGCTTAAATGAAATACATTTGCTCGATTACATATAACAGTATTTGCATTCTTTAAAAGAGTCGTTTTAATTTCTGGGGTCATTGTTTCATTAATCAAGGGCATGTGCAGCTTCGAGCGTACAGCCATAAAATGAATGTTCCATATCATTAATAACACGATATTCCAGATTATCTTCGTCATTAAGTTTATCGTTTATTTACAAAGTTTTATTCAAAATATTAATGATAAACGGTAACCTAACGAAATATTTCCATATACATTTCAGGCTCTGCGGCAGCGCTATGTGCTTTTATGTTATGGACGAAGCACCTTATCATAGTCTACTTGTACCTGATATCCATAGTAGTGATATTCATTTCGTATTGGTCGAACGTCAGCACAATGAAAGCTATAATTTTATACGGAAGCTCCCACGAAACAGCTACCAGCATACTCGATGACATACTGGGCTTGAATTTCACGCAAGTCATGAACTACGGTCCTGGATTAGTGGTAGTTGAGAATTATATACTGCAATGTATGTTAGCCAGCATATTCTGTTACGTACATCTGGCTCCAAGATATGCCATAATTCAGAAACTTCTGGTTGTCAGCTTTATGGCGCCGTCAATACTTGGAATCCATCCGCTACCGGTAATCATTACATTTATAAATTACAAACGTCGCAAGTTGACGTTTGAATTTTTCTATTATCACCACAACATAATTTGCTGTCTGTGTTAAATGAAGTATATACCTGTGATTATTTTCTTTCAGACTTCCGTTCTGTATCACGCACCGGTATTCGCCACGTTACTTCCTTTAGCCGTATCAAAGTTTGTTATCTGGTACAACGGCGTCACTATGTTGAAGACAATCTACCTAGGTTATCAGCATGCGCGTAACTTTATAAGTAACTACGGTCTTTCAGCACTCGCTGAAACCGAGTGGAGCCGGCTGAACGTTCCGTTAGTGTTCCGTACGTTTTGGATGCTTCGCTTAGGCGAGCAAGTAATTCAGATATTAGGGACTCACTATGGCGAAGAGACGTTCACTTATTACGACATGATTAAAACCCTCTTGGTCAACGGTTGTGAGACGTTGATCGCGGTTCTTGGTATGACAAGCATAGTCTCACTTATCTGTCACTACATAGGCTGCTTCTTTCAATGGGTGCTACTTACCGAAGATGGTGAAAAAAGTATTGGAACTGTATCCGCCATATTGTTTTATATCCTCGCTCTTCAGACAGGTTTAACTGGTCTCGACAGAGAGAAGCGTCTAGTTCGACTCTGTCGTAATTTCTGCCTTCTCTGCACGGCGGTGTTGCATTTCGTTCATAACATCGTAAATCCGCTTCTAATGTCGCTGAGCGCGTCGCACAATCCTGCTCTTCACAGGCATATTCGTGCTCTCTCAGTTTGCGCCTTCCTCATTCTATTTCCGGTATCTCTTCTCGTCTTTCTCTGGTCCCAGTCGACCGTGAGCACATGGTTGCTCGCTGTATCCGTATTCAGTATCGAAGTCATCGTCAAGGTGCTAGTATCATTAGCAATCTATTCACTGTTTCTATTCGACGCGTATCGCAGTGCATTTTGGGAACAACTCGATGACTACGTATACTACATAAGATCGTTTGGTAACACAGTAGATTTCGCCTTTGGCATCTTCCTATTCTTCAATGGATTCTGGATACTAGTCTTCGAATCCGGTGGCGCTATACGCGCATTTATGATGTGCATCCACGCATACTTCAATATCTGGTGCGAAGCCAAAGCTGGTTGGAGCGTCTTTATGAAGCGCAGAACAGCTGTGAACAAGATAAATTCCTTACCGGAAGCAAAGGTCGACCAGCTTCGAAGTCTCGATGATGTTTGTGCCATCTGCTATCAGGAGATGCAAAACGCCAAGATAACTAGATGCAATCACTACTTCCATAGCGTGTGCTTGCGCAAGTGGCTCTACGTTCAGGACCGTTGTCCTCTTTGCCATGACATTTTGTATAAGGTCGAGAATCCCAACGCGAATAAAGACAGTGTCGCTTCCGGCACCGAGCAGGAGAGAAGCAACGAGGAGAATCCCTTACTTCCTGGGCAGAATGATGATGCGCGACAGAATCGTGAGATCCAGCCGAATCGTTTAGACTCACCTAATTACATGCAATATGCGGAACAGCTTAACGATGATAGGTGAAGTCGAACGTAGCTACATTGTGATATAATGATATATAAATAAATTGTTACGTATATGAACTTTAATTATTAAGGGATTGATCTCCAGATTCTCGTTTAAATTCGTAGCTTCGTCTGGTCGCTCAAAAAGTTTTAGCGATTTGGTGGTACTGCATTATTTCAAAATCGTTGATTCCTGACGAATTTGAAAACAATCTGCCGCAATGGTCCAGAATATCACGCCTATGAGAGCACACGCTTCTGTGTGTTTCACAGAGACTTAAGTAGATATTTTTTAATTCCACTATATGCGGGTTCTTGTTATATATATATATATATTTAATCTTTGAATGCCATTGCTCACTTTGTGAATGAACTCTGTTTTTTCATGAGTTAACAAAATTACGCTTATTTTTGCTGTGGAATGCAAAGGAATTATCGATGCATTCGATCAATTTTTCGTATCAGCCTTCCATTTTTTTGTTGGTTAAGCAGCATATCTGGTATTAATATTTAAATTGTTTTATATTTTTTTTTTCCCCCACCTAAATTTGTGTATCCATCTATATTCTGTTTGTGACGTCTGCCGGACGCATACAAGTGTATTCAAAATTTTATGTACAAATATCTTCAATACTATGGCAATGTATGTTGCGTTTTACGTTAATGTAAGATTTTTCAAAAGTATATTTTTTTATGCTTCCATAATTTTTTCAAAGAAGATACTTCAAGTATCTTCCGTATAAAATAACGTAATGAGTTATTTACATATAATATTACGAGAATAATGGGAATTTTTCTCTTTTAAATGCACGTATCGCTTTGAAATTATTCATAGTGAATGGATACAAAAATTTAAATTTACTTAATCATCCGATCACTCGCCTTATAAAATTGATCGAATTGATTTCGGTTGTCACGCAAATCAAAAGGTTTTTTTTTTTCGTCTACTCGATTTTCTTCTATGTTACGTATGAGTGTTTCATAAAATCGTACTTAATACTTATTGCGCTAATATTCGATAAGGGCGCTACTTAAACTTCGTTAAAAAATGCCGTGCAGCTAACTGGGGATTACGAACGGCCATCTGGAACTTCCAATCAAAAATTCGTAAAATACACGGCATTGATGCATTATCTATCGAACTCGAGTGCACGGAGATTTGTGTGAGTGTTAAAATTACTGAAATGGCATTTTCGTAAAGAGTAATTGCAAAGTAAAGAAGTGAGATGCATGTAAAAATTTTGGCAAAAGTATCTTTCACGGTAAAAAAAATGCATGCCACCTGGCACCTTCATTTGTCAATTATATCGCAAAAAAGTATCATGCAAGTGTAGCTTGAAAAAATCAGCGCGCACTCCGTTTGCATCAGAATTTATTATTACATTCATATACATTGCGATATTTCATTTTTGAGGTTAGAAGGTACTCTTTGGTTTCCTCAAATAATTTTTGTTGTCATATACCGGCGATACTATTGTAACGGACGAAATTGCGTAACTACAAAGTGCAAAAATTTCCCGTCTTCTAAAATCTCGATATCGAAGAAAAACGATTTCAGAAAATACATTGATTATAATAATTTTCTAAATAACTATTGCAACCGTCTATAATAGCACGTAACCGATTATTAATTCCAGACTAGGTAAGGGTTTATTTAAAGTAGAATATGTAAAAAAAGATTTATCGAGAAATGATAATGGAGAGGCTGTACATTTTTTCTTATAAACATTGCATTCCGTTTTCGCCCAAACGGCGAATAGAAATAACGTGCGTTTCAAATGGGGTTCAAATCCTCGTAGCAACTGAACGGATGGCGCAAGACTATCATTTTAATGTTCGAGTCAGCAAAAGTGATCGAAAAAAAAGTTTACCTGTTATCAGAAACAGTGGTATACGAAGGATCAATCTGTTTTCCACTTCGCGTAGATTATTTGGAAATGATGTATATATCGATTGTAAATGAAAGAGTAATTAATTTCGTATGACTTATTTTATGTTGAAAAAATAACTATGTTCAAATAACAACATCTACCCGGATGGATACTGTGAGCTTGAAATCAAAAGTAATGTTCCAAAAAAAAAGAAAGAAAAAAACTGGTCTACTGTCAAAATTACCGTATCCATCTAACGTAACACGCTGTCTGAGTGAGCATGAAAAAGATGATGCATTGTAAAAATTAATTTTACATCGATGCACCAACCGGGTGAAGATTTATTGAATCCGGATAGGAGTAACGTGTGGGGTTGAAATAAAATAGTGATATAATTTAAAAAATAATTTATGACAGGGTCGTAAATGGTCAAAGGTCTACGGGATCTTGAACTAATTAAGAAGGTGCAAGCAAGCTCAAAAATGTATAATTCAAGGAAATAGTAAAGAAATATGTGCAACGCAAACTTCAATAACAAGCATCGTATCCGATATGACCAATTTTGGAGTATCGATCAAAACATGATAAAAGTTGACACGTATATCTTAATTATTTCCAAAAGCGTATATGTAATCATGAGAGGCCTGGGACTCTGGTACGTCTCTCTGATACACTTACTGTAAGTTAAAACTAATTATTCCATAAGTAAATGTTTTAATGACGATATCATATTTTACTAATAGAAGAATGAAAAAGCAACAAAAATATTCAATAAACGTTATATTTTCAAAGAGATTCGATTCCACCAAGTATTCAAAGCCAGTAACACTACCTACATATGTATCGCCTTATGAGAAGTTACCCGACGAGCATAGGCTAAATTTTTCTTTTATTTTTCACGGGTCAATATTCGTGTCGTCTCTTGACTCGATGACTTCAGTCAATCCAGGGCGTGCGTGCGCTGTGGTTTTAGTGCAATTGCATGAATTTAACGACAAGTAGGATGTGACGTAATCAATCCTGAAAAATTAGTGGGACACCTTTGACACCTTCAATACTCACATTAATCAACTGATTTACATTCATTAAGTATTATAGTCGCCGAGTAAATAAATAGGTGCACGCCACCTATAACGATGTAAGGTTGATCAGATAATGCAAAGGCAAAAGCAGAACGCCGTTTTCGCGTTCGATCGCGAGCAGTAGACTTCCGTAAAGTATAATAATTCTTCAGTCAGGATCGCGCACTTTCTCCGTAAGGCGATACAGGCGATTTCGCGTAAAAATATTTCACTTTTCCCACGGTATAGGTATCCGTCACTGTACGTACATACACTTCATTCCTTATTCCTGCTCGCGCATTGCTTTGTCATGCGTCACGTCGCATTTTCACGTTTCCACCTGCTGTCTTTTTCAATTCTACCCGTTTATAGTCAGATCTACGTTTTGTTTGGATCAACCTACGAAACTTTATGATCGCTTTGCTGCGCACGCGGCATTCTCTTCTTTTCGTGACGTTCTTTCGCCCTCTTGTGTTACGTTCTCTCTTGCCTTCTCTCTCTCTCTCTCTCTCTCTCTCTTCCCCTCCCTCCCTCCTTCTTACACCGTATTTCACTCTCTCTCTCGCACTTCCACTTCTCTCACATCCCGCTCACGATGTTTCGTTCGATCTCGGAAAGTCTGATCCCAGTTGAGTGCGGTTTGCCGTATAGCGTGGACGTCCGACTGAGAAAGAAGCGTCATCACTCTCAGACACCATTTTACAGAAGAATCTTGTGTCTTGATCGAGTTTGTTTGTTGAAAGAAAAAAAAAACATAAAGGTCAGTATACGCGTAAGGTATTTTTTCTCGATCGAGGAACCTATTATATAGGTTTTGCGAACGCATTTTAAAAAACGAATAATTTGACGACGTCCAACAGGAATTTTTTTTGTTAAGATGGTATCGCAAGAATATTAGGCTCCTTTTACATTAATGGTAAGTGCCGAAGGAGTGATGCTTAAGAAATTTATCGATGGACAAACAAAAAATTCGAACGCCGCGCTCCCTTGATTTACGCGCAACCAAAAAGTTTCCTTGCTCGGTTCGTATATATGCGCGGGCTGAATGGATAGCGTTGATTCACGAGCGGCTATGTCGACGGGCGATCATTCGAAAATGTAAATTACGGCTGGTAACTACGTGAGCCTGACAAGCCATTAGGTATAAATTACCGGCGTCTACGATGCGAAAGTTCTAAGACGCTTATGAATTACTGTATTAAACGGTCCGGGATCTAATTTCAGATACGAGGTATTACCATTGCTCGATAAGCAGCCGATCGTTGCATCTTATATTATACATAAGCATGATTCTTTTTTTTGAACAACCATAATCGACATCAACCGCCATTCGCCTTGTAGCAGCTGGTATTATTATCCGGCTGGCTCACGTAAAGAAATAGTTAACGAGTATCGATTTACTTTCTCACTGATACCTTTCGGGATTTAACTAGTATTATCTATTCACTGACTTGCTGTAAAGATAAGGATCCTTAAGGTTATGTTGTGTTACGTATCGTGCGTTCCTTTTTAGCACGTTAATCTTTCTCGTGTTGGACGAGGTTAACCGGATAATAAAAAAGTCCCTTCGACTCCGGGCAACAAGTAAAAAGATCGGCCAGGCAGCTGGCAAAACAAGGTGTAGGTTAATTTCGAAACACAACTGCGTCGCGACACGCGGCGGCGCTTCCTTCCGTGTTTCTTGCGGTTATTAATAAAACACTCGTTTTAACGTCGCACGGTAGTTTCTTTCAGGGCGTTCGGGCCCACGGTAATCAGTGGTTGGATTTCTGCCAGGATAATTAGAAGCTGGAGTGTAAAAGGGTTGACGTCTGTTGGGCCGACTTTTTACCTGACAATAATTATGCCTAGCTAGATCGTCACGGTCAGAAAAGAAATTTAACTCGCAGAACTCGTAGACCGTAGTAACGGTAGAGACGGAAAATATAAGAGAAGTGCTGAGACGTGGAGACTTAACGGAAGGTATAGTAATTTCATGGGTGAAAGCTTTTTTTTTTATTAATTATAATTTATAATTGGCCCGTGCAGGGTGAATCGATTTTATCATGTTTTTCATTATTTTTTTGTATTTCTCGATAAAAGTCGAAAGGATCGATTTAGTACGTGGTCATTGGTTGAATGTAGTAATATAGAAAATTGAAAAAAAAAACGTTATTACCCTGCGTTTTCCGTACGTAATTTTCATTCGTCATTGCGACGTCACGCGTTGCGCCTGCAATACTGTACAATTCCGGATAACATCCACTAGTACGAATAGCTTCCGCAAAGGAGCTTTGCACTCGAGACAAAAAAAGGGTTAAACAAATCTCGACACTAAGTCTGTGAACGTTACATTTATAGTATGTAGTCTGTTAGTTACGAGTGGGACTTCCGAGATCTGAGTATTGTGTAAGGTTGAACAGTTTGGAAAGAGTAGTCATTTCATGAGGTGCATTGTCACGTGCATTTATTGTACTAGATTGCCATGTCCAAAGGGACTTCTAAATATAGATTAGTATATTTTTTTTATTTTATTTTTAAACGTTGACCAGAGTATCGATGTTGTAAGGGATTACAGCCCGTATTCAGAACTCGCTTTTAGTGCTAATAGGGCGCTTTTAAATTATTTTTTCGTGATTTTTAACTAAAAGCGACTCTGCCAGTGACTTTAAGTGCGAATTCTGAAAACGGGCTCATGGGTATACGACTGATGCATCGATTAAAGTTAGTTGGTCCCTTTGATTTTGATAATGGAACCAAGTTGGTGCATTAATTTTTTGGAATGACTGTGTCGGACAAACGGTTTGAAATTATTATCTGCAATAATTGGGACTCAAGTATATAGGTAAAAGATGAGTTTATTTTGTTTGTCAATTTAGATGATTTATTTAAAAACTGGTATCTACCATTTCGCGGATATCAGCGCGGTTCTATGTGTACAGGTGTACCTGGTTTTCCCACGGTTGGCAAATACTTTTTTATTTCGTTGTTACCAGTTTTTATGGAGGAAGGAAAATTTTTGTTTGGCAAAAAAAAGTTGCATTTACCTGCGAACGAAAGTCTTTTGGCACAGATCGGAAATGAAACGTAATTTCCGCTATTGGTGTGATTAGCTACGATTAGCAAGAGGGGACCCCGTATTCGTAATGGCAAATATTAAGTCACGGGCAATTAGCGTGGTAACGAGGAACAATCGAGCCACAGTGACTTCTCACTTGAGTCATTTAATATATAAGTCAGTACGCCTAGTTACGTAACTAGTGCGTAGTTAGCCGAGCACTAACAATAAGTGTATTCTCGCGCGGAATTGGCGACGGAATTGCTACGTACGAAATTCCATCCTGTGGCGACTCCAATGGAGATAGGATCGTCCTTGAGTCGCGTGCTGGTCGAGGCGTCGTGTTTCCCGACTTTCTTGCTTGTCGAAATTTAGCTGCAAACTTTCGAGTTCCGGGAGAAAGGTACCAGCGAGTTCCTCGATGGCTATGAACGGATGCTAACTAACGTATCGCGTAGCTGTATTTCAATAATGATTAAAATCATAAAAATGTCATCCTAAACGTTTTCAGACTGATCGTCGATTTTTTAAACTCTGAATATTTTAAACGACGTCGAATTCGACGGAGATAAAGTTGCGAGAAAGTCTCAACAAAATAACATTGAAATTTCAGTCCTTTGACAGTTGACGAACATTCGTATCTGTCAGTTTCGTCGCGACAACCAGTTGTCGTTTAGATGCGAAACTAACTGGTATGTCGAACGGCCGCCTGTCATTGGTCGGCGAGACAAATAAAGCGTGAAACTAAGTGACATAAAAGTGACACTTTCATTCGTAACTCAATGCGTCTCAATCCCGCGTTCCTTCTCTTGAAATTTCCATACCTTATTTTATTCTTCTCCGCTTCTCTCTTCAAAAGTACGTACCTAACCTCTATTTAGTTGCAAGACTAAACGGTGCACACAGGTGGAGTTTATTCCCACCGAGCAGTCACGATTCCTAAAGCATTAACGTGCGCAAATGCACGTAGATAATATCCTTGTATAGAGACTTTCCATCTGATCTTACGTAACAGGCAGAGGACAAACAAATTGAAAAAATTACATTACAAGACGCTTTTGTTAGATCCATCCCAGTAGAACATACACGGCTAGAAGGATTTCTTTGAGTCAGTGAATTTTTCATAAAAACCGTGTTATGACAAGTCACATACCAGTTCGGAAAGTCTACTTGAGATTTACTCGACTTTACGAACGCCAATAGAAGTTTATTTAGTTAGTCTGGCACGGCCAATGCCTCAGTCTGGACTTACTCTCACCGTCTCCTTCGTGGACTCTAGAAACACACACGTAGGTACACGATGTACCAGAGTAACTATACGGTTTGCACTCTGGCCGCAAAGCCTTCCCTCGGACTAGAGGGCTACGGACTCCTTGTGGATTTATTCGAAGCGACGTACCGACAGGTAGAAATTTGTTCGCTGTCAGTTGGAGCATCGACGGGAGCCAATTGACGGTATGATCTGCGTCTGCTATATCCATAGTCGGTAATTCTAGCGCGATACGAAATGTAAATCTTGACAGTATTGACATAGATTTCTTGACTGGCAATTATTATTATTACTCTTGGTCAATTGTGCATTACGAGGTCAGTCAGTGGTTGCGATCCTGTTCGAGGGAACCTATTATTACTTCGAGTAGCAAGAGAGGCGGCAAGCTAGTGCGTAAATTTCCTTACGTGGACTACACGAGCTTGCTGGGTGAACGCACAGTAGAGTCTAACATAAGTCGGTAAGAATCCGCGCCATATTAGCAAAAACAAAGAGCCGCTTTGAGTTGGTTAGGTCGGCTTGGTTGTCTCTTTACTTACGCTGTTGATTTAACCGTGTCCTTGTATGGAGGCGCGAATTGCCATTTTGTCATCATCCAAAATAATGCGTGGGTCGCTGTGCCAAATCTTGCGTTTGTCTAAAGAAGGATAGGTCAGTTACTGGCGTATCGCTAGACGAAAAATTTCTTACGTATAACGTTCCTTTCCAAAAGTTCACGCCCACTTACTTGAGCCTGTTCCACAATCTAGACGGTTTGTTTATTTATTCCACCGGTTGGTATACATAATCTCGTCATTTTATTTTTTCGTTATTAAGCCTAGGAGATGGAATTATTGTGTGTGTGCTATCATCGCTAAAATTCATAATGTCGAATCGGTTGGTTCTACGTGAAGGTGATTTACGTCACTGTCACTCTTGAAAAAGAATTCATCCAAATGGAATTATCAAACGGATGGATAGCCGGATGTTACATAATCAAGTGTTTTGCTTTCAAGCTTTTCTTTTTCTTCTCAACTTGTACCCGTGGTATATGGACGCAGGGGTATAGGAGAAATGCATAATGGAAGGTCAGCGCTGTGGTACCTCGTGACTGGTATAAGGCGCAATACAAATATCTTTCTCCAGAGTAGTCTTGAGGCTACCTGTACGATCTGATCTTATTTACATGAAAGCTCAAGGTAGCGTCTTAGCAAGCTACGGGATTTCGATATTCAATTTTTTTCCAATATTTTTTGCGATCAGTCTTGTCAAAAGTTCTTAGGCGGACAGAGAACGTCAGGTTTGCTTGCGTCAGATTTGTAAATACAGCGTTATCGGCCACGTCGACGATCCTCAGGACGTACACGATGTGGCTGAACGAAACGGAATTGTTAGTACATAACCGCGACAGAGAGCTGACGGAGAAGCCTGCGATAGTCGGTTGCCGACGTGTCGTGCACTCCGATCTACCCAGGATCGGCCAACTGGTGCGCATGAAAACGTACGACATGTTCGGCGACGTGAATCCTGGTCGTATACAGTAAGTCTTCTTGGATTTATGTACAGACGTGTATGTATGTATATATATATATAAAACCTAACATGGAGGTACCCACCTCCGTGAAGACATTGACTCGAGGTTATACCTAGTGAAATATCGTGTCTGAGCCTGGGGCAAGTAAACGAGAAGGATGAATTAGTTTCCAGTATAAGCTTATGTACCTACCCGAACGTGCCGTCAATATCATCATACGACTGGCTCAGCTGGATAATGATGCATTACGGGTAATCCATTTTGAGAAAGACAGCTGGTATTCGTTAAGGAGAGTAATACTTTTTTTTTCCTTCTGTCCCCTCTTATAATTTTTCAAAAAGAATGGAACGTCTTACCGAGAGGGAAACGCTATTCGTTCATCTTCTCGTTTGGGACACCCGATATAACGACGAATTTTTCGTGCCTCTGCTCGACTTTGTTTTTACCCGCACCACTTTTTGCAATCAAGTCATTCTCGTGATGCCACCCTGGGTCGATCCAGGTAAAAGGAAGAACCCTATGGAACGCTAATCGATTAAACAAAATGGTCTTTATTGGATTTGACTTTGGATTATAGTTGATTTGATTGAGAAGCACATGACCAGAATCTTACCTAAAAGTTTTCACGATAGCCGCAGGATTCAGGCTCTCTATGTCAGCTTTCGGCATAGTCACTGTCCGAAGCTCAAAATACGACGAGTAGTGTAAGGAATTTATTAGTGGATTAATTGATTCTTCTAGAAGGGATACGTGTGTATTGGTTTTTGTACCTCGGAGCGGTAACAGTTTAATGCTATATCCAGTTACTATGCTGTTTAAATAGCGAGGAAGACAACGACGACATAGTGCCTATACTTGACCGCGACTCTCACCGCATAAAGGATATATACGGGGAGTATTATATAAGCGAAATGATGCGGTACCCCGATGGAATGCGTCAGCTGATCGTAGCGGAAGTGGATGGTCTGGCTACGGGAGTGTTGTGTCTAAATAGAATAGTCGATATCGACGTGCTCAATGAATATTTCGAATTGGGACCTTATCGTGGATTGAGAAAGCCTCACGAGTCGGACGTCATAGTTATGCCCGACAAAGTCAAGACAGTGAGCGAGATTCTATTTCATAAAGAGAGTCAAGAGTTACCGGACGCTGGGTAAAGTAAAATAATTGTAAATCGACATTTTCTTTCTTTCATTTTTCTCATCAATTTATTGTTTTACAGTTCGATACTTGAAGAGGTCGAAAAAATTGCTTCGAACGAACATAACATACGGCCCAGTATAATGCGAGGTTACTTTTGTCATTATTTGTCTAGTTTGATCTCTTTAGGATTTTCGGGGATAATTTATTTATTTATTTTTTTCTATAACAAAATGTATCAACAGGTCGACACAGTTTTAAGAAAACGAGCGGCTCCAACGGTATGCATAAGAAAGTGTCGATCAATCAGAGCAACGAAGTGCTCGCGTCTCCGGATGATGCTAATAGTGATGACTATGGTAGTGACACGTCGGAGGTATACAGATTCAAAATTGTGTTCCGATACAGAGTTTTAAATACGAGTAATTTGGCAATGCAGGAGTCTCCAGACAGTGTCTCAATTAAATCCACTGACTCCGGCTTGTCGAGAAGAGATGACGATAACGATGAACCCCACGAATCAAACCATCGAATGTCTGTCGATGATTTCGAATCGAAATTACGACAGAGCATTTTTGCTGCAACGATTGCCGATCTTCCTAGTAAATTATTAAAATCGTCTTGCATTCCCTTAGTCAAATTTCTCATTGCCAAGGATCGTTTGTAATGCGTGGTATGTCAATGAAAATCAATGAAAACCCATTCGTTAAGCCTCAGGGAAATAGCATTGGCAATATTTACTCTTGCCATGAGTTCCCGCAAAAAAATTTCTCGTTTCCAATGCTTCGTTGCCAAAATACTGTAAATCAAGGAAAATCAATGAAAAAGCATTTACTTTACCTCCGGCTACATTACATCTGGCAATGTAAAATTTAGCGTTGGGTTAGTCGTACATTTTATCGCATCAAAACACCGGGTGTCTTTCAGCGAAAGGAAAGAGCTGGGGCGGCAAAGCAGAAAAGCCTGATAGCAAAGCTTCAGACTCTTGCGAAACAACTGTCGGAGTTTCAAAATATTACGGGGAACCGAATGCCTTCACCATGGAGTTGTTCAGCATGACACCGGAAATCGGCGAGAGAAGAGCAGCGGATTACCTGGGAGCAGCATTCGAGTGTTTTCCAGACAGAGACTTCTGTGTGATGCTGATACCCTCCACCTACCATTTGTTTACGTTCCTTCAGCATTTCGTGGTAATTCTTAATCAGCCAAATATCATTGCGTAAGTCGTGTCCAACCTGTAACCTAATTAATTCGAGTAGAGAGTGCCGCTACGATTTAATAAGGATTTTCCAATGGTGCTGTACCTCGCTCATCGCAGCACATTTTTGGGAAGTTTCAAAACAAGGGAAGCAGTGCCTTTCGATAGGAACGATATCCTAGAGTTTTTGGACGGAATGCCCAAGAAAGAGGCTGTCCTGAGGGACTTTGACGACAGTATGCGCTCGGGAGATCAGATGGAATCCTACATTTTCTTGTGGGAAGGATCGGTAGTCGGTCTTGCCATTCTTTGGTAAACGTGGATCGGCGTAGCCCCTAATCAATTCATTGCAATACGCTTTTCTAATCGGTACCCGTATTTTCAGTTTGGAAAATGATATTGATTACTTAAGGAGCCGTTACGTGGTCGAGGATTACGTGCTAATTCCAAACGTATCCATGCACGCTCACGCACGGTTATTGCACTGGGTATTGATGCCAATATTTTCGGTCGATCGCAGATTCTTTTTTCGAGAATTAATGAGACTCAGCTCGACCTCCGTTGTGTACTATCGTCTTTATGAAAATGAGGCCAGCTCTTTGGTAAGCATTGCTCTGGCAGCTGTTCGATACTTTTAAATTAATTCGCATCGAAGGATCTTTCTCAGCACGCCTTTACTTGGTCGTTAGGGCTGTTCTTATAGGATCAATCAATAGGGTGTGTTCCTTTTCAGACTCGAACTCATCCCTTAGTATCCTGCTTAAACGTGATGATCCCTGTTAACCCTCGTAAGCAGATCGATTACACGTATGGCCATTACGAAGATAATATTCCGAGTGACGTCATACTTCGTAAGACGGAACAAAAGTTTTCTTTATTTTTAATGACTGCTCAAATGTCAATGGTGACCAAAAGTGATGTCAATACTAAATTTATTATTGTTGGCGCCTCCGACTGTGGACTTGCAATCGCCGAGCATCTTGCAATGTGGTATATTTGTATATTTATAAAAATACGAAAAATTTGTAGTAAAAATATTTTAAGGAATTTTTCTTTTTTTTTTTTAATTGCTTTGTATATATGTGTGTATAGGTCGGATCCCTGTTTCATGCATTTTAATAACGTTACGCTTGTTTCGGTAAATGGAATACCCTTCGAACGGGAACGTAATTTTTTGGAATACAAAATGCTACCGTTCAGAGGACGTTATTGTTACGAGTATAGAAATCATATAACTGCCAGAGCATGGCTGAATATTGTTTACGGAACGATGATTTCAATTGATAGGTATAATGAATTTATTATATTATTAGAAGTTTGTGTGATTTCTCTCCATACTAGAATTTACAATTTATTATAGAAAGGATAAATATATAACAATAGCGAATATGGGTACATTGTCTTATGACTATTTGATACTGACCGGCGGACTTCAATATCAGAAACCAAAGTTTTCCGAGGAAATCGATGCAGAAAAAAGAGGGTATTTTTCGTATAAATACTTTAGTTCGTACGAAAAAATTTAATTTTATAACTTTTTAAGTGAGCTTAAGGACTTTGAAATTCCGTCAAATTGTTTAATGATAAATGACGATAAGGAAGCGTCTATTTGTTTCGAAAGGTTCAAACATTTGATAAACGATGGCTCGGAAAGTAAGTTCTTATCATACTTATAATGGTATAATGATTTTTCACTTCTAATCATTATCCAATATTTATATTTTTATTTATAGAATATATCGTTTTATATGGTCACAATATCGATTGCTACTGCGTCCTGAATGTATTACTGGAATACGGTATAGAAGCCTCTAAGATCACTTTGATCGAGCCACTTTCACAAATATGCGAAGATCACGACGTAGCGTTCTTATACGACGTGGAAGTATGAAAAGATATGTAAATTAAAAAAAAAACCTCGAAAACCAGAAGTGAACTTTTATTAAAAATTTGTTAACAAGGTGGACGCAGCCGTGATTGGCGCTCTTAAAGAAACCGGAACAAGCGTATTAGCCGGTTGGGAAATAACTGATTGGGATGTAGAAGAAGTGGGTAAGGAGAAGCTGATCAGATACTTAAAAGTCGAAACAAAAACGGAGACTCAGAAAATCCCCTGTGACATGCTTCTCAATTTCAATGAAAAAACCATATGCATGAAGACATTCAAAGGTATAGTAGCAGTGCGAGAGGGTATGAAAAATAAGTGATATAATTTTTCAAAATTTCTTTAGCCATCGCAAAGGCAGGTCTGGTTTTCGATGGTCATCTGGTTATCGATCCCGAATATAGGACAAACGATCCATTCATCTTCGCGGCTGGTACGATAACGAAATATTCAAGAAAATTGGGCACCGAGGGCTGGTCGCACAAATACTACAATCGGATCGAAGTCGGCGAGACGGTCTGTGACAAAAGATGAGCAGTTAATCTTAAGTAACGACCATCCGAGTGTCAAAGATTGACGTTGAGACTTTATGAAAAAGCTAGCGAAGGTGCTGAAGAACCTGGTCGATCCGTTTCGTCCTGCGAACGCGAACGAAGAGAAACAAGAATCCAAGGACGCGAGGAGTTTGCCGATATTTCGACGTCCGATAATAATTGCCTGCACTGTACCCGGCGGTTACAATTATCTTTACGTGGGAAAAGCTGGAAGGAAAATACCACGCGTAATTCTCGCGCGACAGGAGAGCTACGTTAGTTACTTGGTGTCCGGAATCGTCGAGAAGGCCGCCATCTATGACGAACGCGTGAATTTATATTTCAACAGGGTGACGTTCTAATAACCGGCCATCCGAGTTCCGACATTGGCTACTTCCGAATGCGACTTAATCAATTCAGTACAGTCGAGTCGATAACGTGTCTCAGTAAGAAGGTATTGGATTCCTGGTTATTCTTGTTAAAGCTCTTGTAGGATCGGTGGACAAATACGGGAACTGGATCGAGACTCGAATTCGAGTTTTCCGCTTAGCCGGACGGATGCTCTAACAATTTTTGTTTTAAATTCATTTTACTTCTCCAAAAGTACAAAGTACTTGTAATTTATTATTACTTGGCAACAAGTGAGAAATTATTGCTCTGACCACTGACATATCCAGGTCCCATGGGACTACACCTCCGGCGGGGCCCTGTATGGGGTTTAGATAAGAGCCCCCCCCCCCAACCCACTCCTACCCTACGCACGACGATATTTTGTCTAACGTCTGTCGTATCCCGCCCCTCGTCATGATTTCTCAAGTGTAGGGATAGGGGGCCCCCTACTTAGACCTCATATACTATTCCAAGACTAAATAGTACCTGGGTACTGGATAGCCAAGTGGTCAGAGCGTTCGACTGGCAAGCGGAAGACCCGGGTTCGATTCCCGGTCCGGGCTCTCTCACGCGATATTTCTCCGCGAGTTTTCTCTACCGTGGCGTCAGAAGCCAAAAGAAAGAAAGGTTTGGGAGTGTTCGCTGCGAGGTCCCTTATAAATCCCCATGCACCCTCTGAAGGCCCCTATATCCCCGCGGAAAAATATTCAGTCCCACGGGGCCCCGGGTAGCTTAGTTGGTCAGAGCATCCGCCCAGCAATAATGCAAAAATGACTCGCCCGGGCTCAAGTCCTGGTCCAGTTCCGATATTTTCTTATAAATCCTGCTAACGCAGCTAATGTATCTACACGAATTACATTTATTCTTATAGCCTTTCGAGATGCACAATATCATATCTTTGTATGGGAAGCATAATGCAATGTTGAATGACGTGAAGTTACGGTATCAAGTATGTACATTATTAATATCCACTTTGCAAGTCCATTATTGGTATAATAATAATACTAGTAGTTTATTATTCATAAATTTTTATCAGCATGTTGTTAACACATTTTACACCAAGTCGTTTAACCAATACTGCTCTTACTTTAGAATTCCTTGGTGCCTGACTTATATTCTTATTTTCGTGAACCGTGGGCAACTGCGCTATTTCTTGATAGATTTGAAGGTCTTCAAGTTCAAAATCGAGCTACTCTGTTGTCGCATACGGTGAGCAGTGTAATGTTTTTATCTAATAGCGTCAAGTAGTATATGGATTAAAGAACATGAACTCGATTCACGTCCATTAACTGAATAATCATGAATTTTAGTACTGGAATATACAGGGTGGGGCATTTATACCGACCTGGTCGATTTTTTCGGAAACGCAGCCAGATATAAGAAAATATTTCAGACAGAAGTTGTAGGGTTTCAAGGAAGACGGAAGATTTCGTCATTGAATTCCTTCCTGAATGCAGGCGTTAAGGTAATTCGAAGGTCAACTTTCATTTTTTTAGTGGGATAATGCAATTTTTCTTCCGGAAATCGAAAGGGCATTCAATTTTTAGTCTAGAAGTACAAGTACGTTGATGACCCAAAATTAACAGGTGGTAAGATATTTAAACAATAAGAATAAATATCCATTCTCTACATTACCTGGGATCTATTATCTACTATCATCTCTCTCTTATCTCTTCTCACCCCATTCTACAAGGAATTCGAGTCCTAGTGGAGTGCGAAACGCCATGAAATTTAAGCCAGGTATCTTTAACGCCCTTAGCTAACTAATGGCCCTAGTCAAATTACGCTTCAATTCGCGTACGCAATATGCCCCAGGTAAACATGTAGGCTACCTAGAACAGATATTTTTTCTTATTTATAAAACATCTCATCACCTGTCAATTTTGGATCATTAATATTGAATGCTCTTTTGATTTCCGGAAGAATAATTGCATCATCTCATTGAAAAAAATAAAAAGTTGATCTCCGAATTACCTTAACGCCTGCATTCAGGAAGGAATTCAATAACGGAATCTTCCGTCTTCCTTGAAACCCTACAACTTCTGTCTGAAAAATTTTTTTATATTTGACTTCGTTTCCAAAATAATTGACCTACTCACCATATAAATGACCCACCTGGTATATGTATATTTAATTTGCATATAATGTCCTTTATCGAATCGTAGGGAGTTTACGGTAATTCGCTTATCGATGACTGTCTGCGTGCTTTGATAAAATCAAAATGGGAAGCTGTGAGTGAAATTTCTTACTTTTTCATCCAATTTATTTAAAGTTTTTATTCCTCTTCTTAATTATCATTTTATTCGCAGATGTCGAAAGAGGATCGCGAAATAATAAAATTGAAATTTCTGGGTTCCCCGTATCAAGAAACACTTGAAAACAATTTGATTGACTTTTTGCAATATTATGAAAACCAACTTCCCATGTACTGCAACCCACGAAAATTGCGACACTTGTTAAGTGGCATAGAGGACAGTCCATTATTTTATAATCAATAAGTGATTATCATAAAACGACATAAAACAACAAGCATATTCATTTTATTTATAATTTTTATCTCGAATTAAAATAAATCGTATTTCATAATTTTTTCCAGAATTTTTATTCTCCGAACAGTCAACACTGTCTCGACAGTCCATTATTTAATAATCAATGAATGATTATCATAAAACGACATAAAACAACAAGCGTATCCATTTTATTTATAATTTTTATCTCGAATTAAAATAAATCGCATTTCATAATTTTTGTTCAGAATTTTTATTCTCCGAACAGTAAACACTGTCTCGTTCATTTAACACGTAAAATCCATTTGATCTCGATCAATGAAGCACGTAAGCAATGCTAAAATCTTCTCCGGGTGATGCATAATCCATTACTTGGTATGCAGTCCAATCCATATGTCAAGTTCACATTTCATAAGATTGTTCCAGCGTCAACCTCAACACAGTGTAGCAACATGATATAACCCACGCGCTAACTGAAGGTCGCGGAAAGCATAAATTACGTTTCACGCCCATGAAAATCAAGGCGTAATAGACACTGGACGACAAAAAAGTAAAGTTTTGTATAAGAGTATCGCCCACAAAAGAACGACGAAGTAGTTCGAATACAGTAAACAGTAGCACGAATAATTTGAAGTTCCTTTCCTATATGATTACCCCGAATGAAAATTGTGCATCGATCTTCATTATGCAGCAGCGATCGCGATCACAAAATGCAAGTGCAGCGAGAAGTCTGCGGATTCCTTGTTTACTTGACTTTGATTCTCTTTCACGATTACGTCATGGTACCGCAACGGCTTTGAAAATGATTTTGAATCCGATCCAAGATATACGTCGAGCACAACGTCTGTTGGGATCAATGTCGATCTAAATTTACACGTAAGCCGTCCTTCAGATCACAGAAAAGTTTGACAATAAATGAACGAGTTTCTCACGAGCAGACCACTAGTCGCACCGACGTGACTCTAGACGCTGCAGCGAAGTAATTTGAAAAAGTATCGGAAAACAAGTGACAAGGTACTTTGATAACGTTATACATACACCTCGTCATGAGGTACAGTCAACGAAGGAAATAAATATATTTGATTTTTCAATGTTTATTTGGCGATTCAATATTCGTATCGTAGTTATTACGTATTCACGTTTCCGGGCAATATCGGTGACACGTGGACACAAGGTGCTTCGTTTGGTCCTAGGAATTTAATGCTGTCATACATTTCATTTGTAATTAACATATATCCTCGGGGCTAATTAAGGTAACCGTCGAGTATTTCAGTGTAGGAGTCGTAATATATACTTGCCTATTGACTGATGCTAGTATCGATTATTATTGTGCAATCTGAACTTCAGTAATGTATAAAGCTGGAACTTTTGTTAATGCTTATACGATCCGTTATAATTTTAGGCAATGCTGAAGTCGGTGTCTCCACAGCTTTCGCCTAGAGGCCAGCAGAGGATTATCCGTTTAACCACGGACCAGGAGGCTGTACTACAGGAACAGTTCAATAGATCGCCACGTGCGCCTCACACAGCTGATGTTGTCCTTCTCGCGGCGGAAACTGGATTGTCCGAAGAAGACGTACAGGTTGGTACTTTTTCTTCAATGATTATTAAAAGACACATCTGACAGTTAATGGGATAGAATTTGAATTTTTCATTTTCAAGCATTAACGTATCACTTTTAATGTTTCTGTTTCAGGGTTGGTACGCCATCAGATTGGCCCAATGGAGAAAGGAACAAGGGCTCGGTGGAAATTTGGGTTTCAACAATTAATTGACCATTAATATAAGCTTAATGACAGTTTCGTTTTGATAGGTAATATTAATCGAATTTTTATTCCTTCAAATTGATTGCCAAGAAAAAAAGAACATTGATACTGATATTTAAAAGGCCTTTTGTTTTGTGCCTTTAACAATCCCCGCTTTCTCGGGGTGCCTTAATTCGCGATGAAAATTTCAGCGAAATTACAGAGATCAAATGCGTATTTACCTGTATAATATAATATCATTGTTGAAATTTCATTATTTTATGTAGATGTATTCATAGTAGCCTGTTATATATATTTGATCAAATCACCATGCTACGTGACATATTCGGATGTTTAGAAAGTCAATATCAGAATTAATCTATTGTATCTATATCATCGACATCAAAATACTATTGAATATTAATTGTTTTGTAGACTAGTGTCGTATAGTGTACATGTACCTTATTGCTTAAGTTTACATAGTCAATTTACATATGCCAATTACGAATTGTATGTGTTAAACAAACAAAAAGTGTAATGCCATCTTGTCAATCTCATTTTACATTCGTTTCTAATAATTATGAAAATAAAATGAAAAAGATATAACGTAGATTAATAATACTATGTACAGCAAATTTAAAAAATTTGCATTCTTTTATTACTCCCGATTATGTATTTATAAAAATTGTATCGCCAGGTTATACGTTGATGCATACTTTTATAAATATCCAGCGGCTGGGATTCATCATTTTTGAAGCCACTATATTTTCCTGTGTGTATCCAAACAAAAAAGTTATAAACTATGTCATTTTTTATCAATAACACATTTTTTTATTACTTCCATATGTGTAATTATTATAATTCACTAACATCTAACTATCTGTGCGTTTCGTTGGCGTGCTTTTTGTGAAAAACAATTTTCTCACCAGTGACAGGGCACTTTGTTCATTTCTTTGTTACCGTCTCTTACGGAATAGCAACAGTTACTCACTGGCGCGCTCTATGGCCAATTTATGGAGGAATAATGGATTACGTTAACAGTTTTCTTCTCCTTTTAACATCTGTAGGTAAAAAAAAGGACGCACTACTCGAGTCATTTGATTTCACTATTTAGCTAACAAACAAGAAACCACGATTGTTTTTCGTTTTCAAAATATTTCCAAGTGGAACTTTCTTCATTGCAGTTACTGTCACTTCTTTCATGCTTATCTATTCTTTATGCTTAGTATAGTTTCAGATTCTCTCTAGAACCCTATACTAATATAACTGTCATAATTTTTCTAAGGATCTTGCTTCTAGTAAACTTTCTGAAAAATATAAAATAAATATGACTTTTGTCTATATACTGTATAAATTTGTATATGTGTAAAGTATAAGTACACAATTTTTCATTACGCACAGCCATGTCGTTATATTGCTATCGGAAATGCTGATCTATTCTGTTACTCTGTTTTTTATATCCGAAGCTTCATATTTTCAATCGACTTCAACATTTCAGCCGAAAAATTGGATTACATTGTCGCGCACGTGGAATTTCGCATTTCTGGTTGACATTGAAGGATCATATGAAAGATGCCAATGTGTCCAAAACCGTGATGCCTGAGAATGTTTAAAGAAGAATTCGAACTGTACAGTGAGATTTCTTGATGCCCTGGAGTGTTCATGCTGCCTGGTAGGTCGTTGACAATAGTCCTTACTCCAGGGTATCGTTGACGAACAGTGTACAGAAATTGTAAATTTAGATGGAAGATCAAATTTGTTATCTCAACGAAAGTTGTCTCCCAAACCACAGATACTGTTTAAAAATGAAGATTAAGACATTGAAAGTGACACAAGTTGTGTTTTAGGCATATTAAAATCCACTTGAAATGTGCCATCTCGGCTGTCATGATAAATTATCATATATGTATATCAGTTACCATAACTTAGTACTTTACGAGGATTCGAATACAATTTCATTGAATTTAATTTACCGAAAAATAAGTTCCAGATAAATGAGACGTGGTGTATTGTCAAGTCACACGACGAAGGTCACTTAAAGTTTTAGCATCGTTGAAAATGAATAAAAGTTACGTGGACCCAGGCAGATATTAATACGTTATTTAACAATTGTCCACGAAGTTGTTGCCTTCGTCTCGGGCCTTCAGGTCGTTATATACATAATTACTGTGAAGTACGAATTAATCCGTTCTGAGGCTCGTAAATAAGTTAAGCGAGACATTTCCGACAAGGCGCAAGTTTCCACCCTCGTTAAAATGTTCTCGACTTAATTAACCACAAGGAGACACCCCAAAATCACATCTGAAACGTGAATCTACGAAGTCAAATAACATTCAAAAAGTATTTAAATTACAGAAAAAAAGGCTTAGTGCAAATTGAGGTTAAACCGTAAACTTTACCGAATCTAATTCTAAATGAACTCTTCAGATTCTACGAAGAAAATAATAAATTTGATATGCTAACAATTTCATAAGAAATATTAAACGAGCACGTATTGCATGCTTAGAGATCACTAAAAATACAAAATACAATTTTTTATATATTATTCGCTTATAAAAGTCTAGATAGACTAGAGCTGATAATTGGATTATGATTAAAGCAGGTAAGCGATTGTATGAACTATACAAACTCATTGTGCAAAAGCATGAGTAATTCTTATAAAATTTTTGTATTAAATAGTTCTAATCATTTATTAATTCATATCTTCAATACCTATCCGTATAAATAGTGTGTATGAGATCAATCCACTAAAACAATAGGATATTTCTTATAAAGAAGATGAAAACGATTAATAATATCTGCACACCTTGACACGATAGAACGTTTAATAAGAATTTATTGCACTTGATTACAACGTCCTCTTCACATATCCAAATGTCCTAATGATAATCTACGTCATGAATTCAAAGTATGATTCGGCTATTAGTCGCAAAGTTATTAGGTAAGCAAATACAACGTAATGGATGCACATAAAGCCAAAAGATATTTCGACGTGAAATAATAAATATGGGTATTCCTCGAGGTACAAAGCTTTCCAGTTCATGGAGTAGAATTAAGTCACCCGGTAGGACGGGCCGTGAAATCCATCTTTTCCATACCGGAATGTCCCTTCGCTGAGGTCGTGAGATCAGTTCCATTTCAAGAGGCCATTTCCTTATGGCTGACGTTACAAAAGAGTCCCCTGAGTACGAAGCTAATATCACGACCCAGCCGTAACTTGAATAAATGTGGCCACAGTAGATGGCTGGTTACACGCTACTTTGATACATGATTCTCTTTAATATCTAAGGGGAATACTTATTTTCAAGCAATAAACGAAAATGGATGAATCACAGTTATTCGAAATTCAAATGGATATTGACTCTGTATTCGGCCAGTGCGTGTCTTCACGTTCTCGACGGGTCCTTCTTCCAACTCGCATGCGTTGGCAGTTTCGGTGGCTGATTTATCGTCATTCTGCTCTTGCAGCACTTCCGGAAGGTAAGTCGCCAGAACGCCAGTCTAAAGTCCGCCGAGTAGAAGGCGTAGATGAACGGATTTATCGCCGAATTGATCCAACCTGATAGTAAATTTGAAAAGAGTCAAATCCTCTTCCATCCTTGCTGGTATTCAGCGCGTGCACTAAGGTGCCAGGCCGTAACGGGAAACTCAAGACATGATTTTAGGATTACCAGAAGAATAGGAGGATGAAGAAGAAGGAGAAGAAAAAGGTGAGAATCAGAAGTATGGTCGAAGCTAGACGTGATCTAGTGAGGGAATCGAGCGAATAAAGTTATAAGTAAGTTTTACGTACCCAGCCAGGTCAGTGCGGGCATCAGTGCATCCGGTGGTGCCATCGGCACGAATGGGGTTGCTAGGTATAATATAAAAAATGGCAACCAACATGCTACGAAACCACCAACAACAACAGCTAGAGTCCCGGCAGTTTTAGTCTCACGTGCTACCCTGTTAATGCAACTCTGTTGTTGTGTGCGTAATCCAAGCTTCTTGCACGTAGTCGAGATTTCCGGTTCGTCTGATGGTCGATCGCAAGATGTGCTACCCCTTTCCGGTACAGAAGTGTTCTCTGAGCGTTTCATTCTGATACTCTTGGTACGATCCCCCTGAACACACGGAATATATCTGTATACATATAACCCAGGTACATTGCCAAAGGAACAGTTCAATCTATAAGCTCGATTAGACCCGTAACTGAACTACGAGTTTTGATTACTCATTAAAAAAAGAAAGGTCAGTAAATTCTTACCAAGACAGTCAGTCGTCGCTGAAGATTCCTCGTTCCCCCAGTCTCAAGGCTTCTATGTCTTCGAGCGATGACGCACGAGATCCTTGCGTAAACGTAGAGCATGACTAGCATGGGAAGGAAAAAGGAGCCCATAGCGGAAAATATCACATAGGAAGAGTCCATATTGTAAGAACATTTCCTTCTGTCTCTATTCACTGCGCGTGGAAAACACCCAAGTAAAGGCGGACTCGTGATGGCGCCGGCAAGTATCCAGACGACGATAATCATGACGCCGGCTAACCTCTTGCTCCTGCGACGTCTACTGTACACCAGCGGTTGGGTTACGGCTAAGTACCTGGAACAATTCCGCAACAACTGTAACATGACCTTTCGCAGGGGTTTCTTAACAAGAGCTTTGTCAAATTTCAAATTTCAGAGAATTTACACAGCGGACGAGCAACTTCGTACTAATCATCTCAAGACTACGTGAGACAACTGCAGGATAAATTTGGCTTACCTGTCTATGGAGATGGCGCACAGAGACAGGATGCTGGCCGTGCACAAGAGGATGTCAAGGGATACCCAGGAGTCGCAGAGGATCTCACCTAGTTCCCAGGTACCTCCATTCAGCTTGATCGAGCGAGAATAAAGAAGGGAAAAAATGATAAGACAAAAAACCGCAGACAGATGAATAAGGTTTTCGCGATCGCATACAAAGATTGAAAATTTCAAGATGAATCTTTGAAATAATTTTCAAACGCCCTCAGAGACGTGCCCTGAGAGACGTGCTACTTCTTTCTCGGCATCCCGACGAGGAAGCAAACGAAGGAAATACAGATAAGCCATGGCTGTTGCATTTAGATTGCCAGAAGCTGAAGTGCTTCTCGTCAGTCTGAGTAGAGTCGATTTCTATTGTCCTTAGAGCGTCTTGAAGGTATGCCACTTAATCTCGGTCCATCATTCCTCTGCAGCACGTTAGGTATTCGCGACTGTTTCTAGACCAGCTTAAGTCCCTAGGACGGTGGGTAGTGTAAATTATTTATTAGAATATAAGACTAAGGAGCATACTAAAATAGTAACGTAATCATCCATTTGTAAAACACGGCGTCTACAAATCGTTTAGCGTCGACGCGATATCACTCTCGGTTGTTTCAGAGGCTGCACTCGCAATCAGCATAAAATTTTCAGAACTTCCATCATGCTCGATAAACCATGGAAGAGCACTTGGGATTCACTCTTGTCAGTACTGCTTTTCAAAATAATTAATATCACCTCTCAACCCGGCACTTCCGAACTACCTTGAGCTCGATACCGCAGATTCAAAGCAAACTCTCTATACTTCAGTACGTATTTACTTGATCTCAGCCATCGAATCGCAGGCGAAATTAAATTTTCAAGAGATTCAAAAGTCTCAGGAAGTTTCTACGAAGAACGCTGTCGGGATTAAAGTCCGTATAGGTTATCGTCTGATCCAGCGAGAGGGAGAACGCAGAAAGTTCAATCTCCAGGGAAAAGTCGGAAGAGAGAAAAGGGAGCAGATAGAAATAGTCATATAGCAAGTAAGTGTGGGAGGTAGAAAAAGAGAGTGAAAAACGATCTCAGTTTAAACCCGTGAAAATGATTCCTGTGAATTTGACTCGGCGAGTGGCGCAAATTGTTAGGAAACGTCAGATCAATACCTATACACACCTACGTACCCTAGATTCCAATCTAAATGTAAAACCAGTTCTCGTTATCACCATGACAATTGCTAATCTCAATGGTACTCACTGTAGGATTCTTGATGCCGTAGGATAACAAGCTTTAAGAACGTTTAGCAGCCAATAAAGGGGTTATCATCCCTGCTATGGCAGACTACGCTACTGTAGACCTTATAACGTAATACCGATTGTTATCAATGGTAGCAAGGACAGGCATACTAAACATCGAGTAAAGGACCCTGATACGTACTATCGCCACGACTTAACGAGCTTCCTCGTTCTGGATACCGGTTGGACAGTGTGAGTCAGTGATTAGTAGTTACTGATGAGTATCTGTGTACCTGCAGTAGTACGGCCGGTGGCATTACTGCTAAACCAACCAATAAATCGGCGGCGGCCAGACTGGACACGAAACAATTAGTGACGGAGCGCAGCCTCCTCGTAGTAATTACTGCAGCAATCACCAGGGTGTTGCCAACCTGTAGAATTGCAAGGTAAGTCTAAGTGACCGAGAACCAAGTAAATTTTCAAGCAAAAAAATATATTTTTGCAAGACTGGATGTCATGGATAAAAATATACAGTACAACTGTGAAAAAAAAGGATTGAAAGAAAAACATTTTTTGCTTCCAATTTCGTGATTCGATGTTATTTTTTTTCAATCTATGTACTCCGTACAGATCGACATACAGATTCCATGATATCCAGGGTGCATCGTGTATATAAGCAAACGAGCTCCACTGCAGTAGGCAAGCAGGACAACCGAACAGGCACACGTAGAAATGCTTTAACGGGCTTACAATAGTGATGACAATAAGCACGGAGAACAAAGCGGCGAGTACAAGATCCGTCCACTCGGGCAGGTAATCCAGCTGTGGATTTTGTTCGACAGTCGGTTCCGAACTGTTACATCTATAGTTACTGTAATCCGCGGTCTCGTTCTGCATCGTACTCATCTTCGATTCGGCCCCGTTGAATCCTGGCCATGTGTGATCCTGAATGGAACCACTGAGCTTCTTAACGTCCTCCCGTGCACTGTCGTTCACGTGACGCTAAAGCGTCTCAATCTCCTATTCCCATCTGTAACTGGCTCTCGATCTCTCCTTCCATCCTTAGTCAAATTTATCTCTCTTCCCGTTACGTTTAATCGTTACAGCCAAGCGTTAATTTCACACGTACAGCCAGTCAGTGTCTTTTTGGATGTATTTCGCTTTGTTTAATTTTACATTGCTGCAGCCCAAAGCGCTTTTACTCGGAAAAGCTCGGAAAGTAAGAGGCGTGTGTTCCTTGATTCTCATATCTCACTCGTATACATACGTATATTTATGCACGGGCGATTTCACGCTGAGCTCGTGTAACTAAGAGAGAACAGAAAGAGAATAGATGTAGGTTATGCTGTGGCTAATGCATTATGGGCTTAAACATTCGTTACGAAGAGTCATGCATATATCTATTTTGAATTTTGCCGCCACTTATTATAGACAATGTTTAACCGTTGGGTCTGTAGGACTGTTTTATTAATAGCGCTACTTTGTCAAACGAATAAAGTATCGATCGTCTAGCCAATGAGTAAATAAGCTGAGGGTTTCAGAGCTTTCGCGATTACCTTGATTTATATTGACCAGTAATTTGCATGCTTTTAGGGGAATATGTTAAAGGGATAGGATAGGACAGTTTTAAAAGTAAAATTTGAGTAAAGAATTTTGTGCCTCGTTGGAATGAATCGATCGGCAGGGTAGGTCATTGAAGGTTTTGCCGTCAAGATGGGTGACTTACTATTTTCGACGTCGGTAAAGTTCGTGAGGGTTTTGCGAGCTTCGGATTCTGTAGACGGGCACGTCGGCAGGGGACGTCAAATTGTTTGGAAATGCTTGAGCGTTTCTCTAACCTTCACGGTATTCTTTGTACGTCGTTGCCGGAAAGTCGTTTAACGCCGTGCGAAGGCTTCTCTCGTTTCTCGCCAACTGTTTGCGAATTGTAAACCATATTGCTTGGCGCTGGTAGTTTACTTGCAGTGAAGAGTGGACGAGTTGGGTCTGTGGTTGGGCGATGCACTTTTTCGCAGAGCAACGTCAGACCACGAAAGAAGATTAAAAAAGTAGAGTATATGGTAAAATACGGAAGCAGTTTAACCACGGCGGTAGGAACGAATGTATATGTTTAACTGGAGGCTGGCTTATTTTCTTTGAAAAAGAAGTGCAATTTTTCCCAGTACCATTTGAGTGTACATCATCAAACGTCAAAATAGCTGGCCGACACTCGCCTTTTATCGATATTGACATTTCTTTGCCAGATTCTTGTTTACTACAGGACCCGGCTGAAAATTGAAATGGCAAACTAAAGTTGGTACTGTTTCAACGGTTCGGTTATTTAGTCAGGACCGTATATCGAGGGCAGTATATGTCGAGTAACAATTTCAATGAAAAATTTAGCAAAGAATTTAAATATAGCAGTGTCCATTACTACGATTGCCTAACAATTGTATGTGAAGAAAGTTCTTTTGATTTTGAAAATTATTAAACATCTGCGATTTTAACTGAACGTTCTTTTCGTTTATTTTTAATGGCGTTTTAAAAAATGAGTTTTAATATATGTATGTTGGAATGTCAATATTCATATTTTGACGATGATAAGGGGTCTACCGATAACAATGGTAGACATCAAGCAACCCCAAACTGTCTTGCCACAAATAATTTTTATTAGATCAAAAATCAGCGGCTCGTGCTCATCTGTCAAATGTGTCAAGCAATTGTGGGTCGCGGGTACCGAAACGCCTGAGAGACGTAATTTTTTATTGGTTACTCAGGTGACGTAATATGTTGATCTTCTCGTGTGCTTCACTTATGGATATTTATTGGTGATAGTTTATACTGGACAATTCCTTGCAAAAATATTTTGCCAGAAAACCGATTTTTATGATCCGTCACGGTGTCAGTGATCGCATAACTCGACAAGCTAATGACGATGTATATTCATTAGATTTTATTTCTACGTCAAGATGTTCATACTCTCGTAAGCAGTGTCTCTGAATTCGGGACAAGGGTCTACTAACGAGTCCGCGGAAACTTATGCAACAAAATATATACCCAGGCTTCATCAACGAAGCACGTTACTTTACGTAATGACCGTACGTGAAGTTTTTCTAGGATCTTTGTACATAAATATACAAAGAATCAGTCAAAGTTATTTTCTGAATGATTGTCAATTTTTACATGTAATCAATGGATACGTCATAATCATAGTTCAGAAAGATCATAGGAGAGACCATTACGTCAATTCTTAAAACAGGAAAAGATGACGTTTCGCAAATATAATAACGAACGGAAGTTTTTGATTGAACGAGTCAATGCGATAATAAAAATTTAAAAAATCTTTTTATTCAAATTCAGCATAGCTGTAAAAGCTCCTATTAATTGACCACTTCCCAATTATCAATCAAATTCTCAATATCGTCTTATTGATTGCTTGTAGATTATTCAAGTGGATATTGTTGTTATCTGTTATCAAATTGTCGTATATTGCTTTTAGCTGAAAATTCAATGAATTTATCTCCTCGTATTTATAACTCACGATATAAATGGTTGGTAATTGGAACTAAGTGATTGCTAAAGAGTAAATTCACGTTATTGCTCTATGAGTATTTGTAGAGTTTTATATAAAATATTCATTCCTAGTAATAATATGTATATTTGAAATATGCAAAAATTTAAATTTTCCAAATAGCTCATTAAAGTCGATATATAACGATTTATATGTATCATTGATTGTATTTCCATCGTGTGGGATTTCAGTAGGATTAACCAATTATGTGCGACATTTGAGAAGAATATTCGAACATGATACGTTGATCCTACTTTAATCCTGCACAATAGAAACGTATTCATTGTCACGTACAACTGAATAGGAGGACTTTTAGGCAACCTCGCGCAGCAACCATCCCTGCAGACTGAAATAGAATTTACAGTCGTCGAAAAAGCCAGCCGAATGTCTACAGTGTGTGTACCCTTTGAGTTTTCTACAAAACCTTTGGGAAATTGAAGTTACCTTCACCGGAGAAAAGTACGTCGTAACCATTCTTATAAAAAGACTTCGTAGAAGGATCGTTATGACATTTAAGAGACCATAGGGGCTACCAATTCTTATACAATTAAATTGAATAAAATAGCCTGACCAACCGGCATGAAGCATCCAGACTGGCTATAAGAATTCGAGATACTTAAAAATGAGCCAATTTTTTTACATTTATATTACTGTTCTTTAAATCATTTAATTCCTCTAACCTAACCTTACTGTCCTTAGCCGACACAGGGTAAGCCTACATGCAAATGTTATTAGTCATATTTCTTAAAGAAATATAGCAGATTTTTCGCATTCGAACCATAAATACATTTAACGTTTATTTTATCGAGCAACCCAATTTACACGACAGCGTAAAGCCCCTGCGACACGGTATGCGGCCAGGAGTAACCAAAAGTTGGCAACAGACAGGCCTTAGGATTTATAGCGTAGAACATCATACTTTCATCGTACCTAGAATAATACGTAATCTTTGTAAAATTGTACAAAAAAAAATATGCAAATTTTAAATTGACCGCGAAAAACGAGAGGGTCGATATTTTTCGATTAAAAGGGCCAAGGACTAATACATTATACATAGCATATAGGTATATTCAGCAGTCTCAGCTTTTTCAGCCATTCTCAACAACCCTTTTGCTTCAGTCTTCTCTTCAACTTTGGTTATTATTATTATACAAGCAATAAGGGCGTTTCGTCGTACCGAAGATAAATTGCTTTCAAGGCCTACTGACTTTGCGACAGAGAACTGCACTGCGTCGCAAAGGACACCAATATTTTTTTTATTACGAATTCGTTAGCGCCTTCCTCAACTGGAATTAAACATTTTTTTTCTTTCTATCTTTAAAAAAAAATTCCACAGGCTCATCGTTCTTACTTCTCTTCCTTTTCCTCTTATCGATCCACTCTTCTTTTATATGCCGAGAGACAAAAAGTAAGGTCGTAAAAGTGCATATCTACTTAGAATAAAATAATACGTATGTAATTTTAGCCAGGACACATTGTAGAATGTAAATTTGTCCTTGGAGAAAAATAAAACGCAATGTAAATTTTTCTTCTCCAAGCATAACCGAAAATCGGAAGAATTGGATATTTGCGAAATATTATTATCAATTCTACATTTTATACTTGACTTCTCCTTTAAATTACAATCTGCGCGTTACAGTTCGTGAAAAAATTTTAGAACTGCGCATGCGCGTTTTTACAATCGCAAATGCATAAATGCATGAATTTCATGTTGATTGTGTCCGAACATCATGGTTGGCTTTTAATCTCTAATTTTTTTGTTATACATAAACGATATACTCGAATATATATTTGCATGTGTAGTGTGGATGGCGTAATTACTTTATGGCAATTACGTAACTTGGATTTCAAATTATTTCGTAATAATGCACGGGGGCAGCTTGCGACTCGTGGGACACTAATCTCTATTTACCCGAGATCATAACGGTATATAACGTGTATTTCTACCTCCTGAATTTCGTACATAGAGAATCGCCATAATGGAAATTGCCAGTTTCGTAAATGTAAACTTGGCGCTTAGCGCGGCATAGAAATTCATAGATAAATCTGAATTAACATAAGGACCCAAGCATCGCTATGAATATTGGTACAATTGGCTAGGGGTTTATCAGATAGGATAATGAAACTTCAATTTTGTCACTTTACCGCTCATCTAGCGAATTGAATCAAATGACATATCCGTATACGGATACGTTAACGTTTCAATAAAATGACAACAGATAGCAGCACTGCTATTGGAAAATAAACCGGGTTGCACTGATTACTTTAACCAGAAACTATAATTCTTCGTAGTGACTCAAATATCTGGAAAACTAGGCTAACCGGAAAGCCAAACGATATGAGAAACAAGAACGAAACGTACGATCTTTCCACGTTGAATAAATGCGGGATAAGCTGGTAATAAAAAAGACAAAATTTAAGCCCAGTCTAAATCCAATATACCGCAAACCGCTTGTCACTTTCCAGTATAACCTTATTTACAGAGCGGTGAAAATTCTTGTTCTAACCAGTCGACCATACTCGGAACGTAGTAGAAACAAAGGTACAAAAAAAAAATGAAAGAATCTAGTAGACAGTTGTCGAATAACAATTAAACGACAAAGTAGTGCTGAATTAAATACTGATAATGAAATCCAGACTATGCGTCATTTATCAAGTATAGAAAGAACACAAGCTGTCCAAAAGTCGTCCTCAAGACGTCTAATCCCACTGACGTTGTCTTTTAGACAGCTTAAAGATGACTGTCCTACTTGCAACTGCAGTTGTCTAGCAATCAACTACACGTAGTTGAGCCAAGAAATTTCAGTTGCTAAAATATCGACGCGTCGCAGTAAATTCACTTTGAATGGGTTAAACGGCCAAAATAAGCGAGACGTTGAATTCATAGGTAAAAATATAATGAAGCGAGGGATATGGACAAAGTAATACGAAAGAAAATTATGAACAAAGATAAAAGTATAATTAGGATATTTCAAACATAAATATCACTATCTATATAGTCTATGCCGAAAAGTTTATCGTGTGCCGATCCCATTAGTATTAAAAATCCCACAGGGCTTTCCGACATGCCTGAACTATCCATCTAGACGATACTGGTCGCTGCCTATGTATGCACCATAGCGCATATAACAGGGGACGGGGGTAATTGCACTCGCCACCGGGAATATATAACGTGGTATGGTAATTTTTTTAGGAGATATATTTTCCACCCCGGGAAGATTCCACATCGAGATTATCCATATAGATATAGGTATATATATATGTATAGTCCATGTTAGTTCCACCCGTTAACCCTTTTCACAACCAATCTCACAGCCATGATAGGTAATAATGACTTGAGGTCAAATATTTTTAGGTGAGAAATCCGTCACTTTTATAGACTACTAATTACGCGATAACCTATCGGTTCTAACGTAATTCAATCACCCCTTTTTTAAGTCATCGTTGTCATTCT